CAGCTGCCCACAGGGTCCTATAAGCAGAATAGGAGTGCAACAGCTCCCTTCTGCCCAAGTTAGCATTTGTAAGTCACCCAGAGAACCTTCAGATTATGGGGTAGCATAGAATTGAATGAATTAATGAGTTCCCCAGCAACTGAGCCATCAGGAGTAGTAGCTCCTATCAGCTTGTTCCTTGATAAATCTATCTACTCCCCCTTTAAAGCCATCCAAATTGGCTGCCATCACTATATCTCAGGAAAATGAATGTGATCATTTAATCATGTGCTGTGTGAAGAAGTACTTCCTTTTATCAGTCCTCTATTCCCAGCAATCAGCTTCATGGAATGATGCTGTTGGATTCCAATATTACGGAGTGGGAGAGAGAGAGCAAGAGAGAGAGAGAGAACTCTCCTCACCCAGCACAATTCTGACCATCTCCATCATGCTTGCCTTTTTTCTAAGTTAAACCTACCTGTTGTAACCTTTCCTCCAAAGGGAGTTGCTCCACCTCCTTGATCATTTTAGTTGCCTTTTTCCTCACTTTTTCCAACTCGGCTATACATTAGATAGATAGATGGATAGATAGGTAGGTAGGTAGGTAGATAGATAGATATGGATCATTGACTAGAACTAACAATATTCTAACAGTGGTTGCACCATAGTGTATAACAGTAGGATTATATTGCCAGTCTTATTTTCAATTCCTTTCCTAATTATGCATAACATGGACTTTGCCTTTTGCACCACAGCTTCATACTGGATTGATACCTTCATCAAGCTGGCCACCACTGTCCCAACACCCCTGTCTTCACTGCATGCCAGCAGGCACTAGTAAGATCAGAGCGGCAGGCATAACTTCCTAGATTCCTGCTGTGCTCTGATGTGAGACAAAAAGTTGTTCCACTTCATATCTATAGACGATTTGATGTCTAACAGGAAGAAATTCATGAACCATCAAGATAAGTGAAGAGTGATTATGGAATTGCCAAGAAATAGGAAGGATGATTGTGTGCTCTTAGTAGTTCATTTATATTGCCATTTAAGGCAGTCACCCCAACACCCACAAGTGATGCCCCATTCAAAAAGAAAGCTGCTCATTATTTTTGAGTCTACATTTCTATGTGTTGGTGTAGGTTAGGATTTGATTTTGCTTAAAGCAAGCAGAACAACCTTGATTTCAACAAGGGCAGGTGAGAATTCTTCCATGGGGAAAATCCCCTTCATTTTAATCACAATGTATCAATAGGTGCACATTAAGGCAGCAGGCCTATCTAGTCCAGCATCCTTTTTCCAGAGTGGTCAAGCAGAAGCCCAAGGGAAATCCATGAGTAGGACATGAGTGGAGCATCACTCTCCCACTGATGTTCCTCAGCAAGAGGTATACAGAGCTGATGGAATACTGCCTCTGTTAGTAGAAATGCTGCATCACTATCATGACAAGTAGCTATTGATAGCCTTATCTTGCATGCACAGTAAATAAACACTTTATATAAGTGCAATGAATAAATAAACACAGGCCTGAGCTGCACAAAACACTAAGAGAAGAGGTTTGTCTCTTCAAAATACACTCGATTTAACTATCCATATTTGCATTTTTAAATATGTTTTTCCAAATGATAACAAGCATACATCCAGATGTGCTGGGCATACTTCCTTCTTGGTTCCATTCTCTGGTAGCATATTTTCCAATAAACAAATTCAACTCCCCATTGGAATGCCCTTTGATTCTAGGGAAGGAACTGCATAGTATAATGATGACTTGGTCCTCTGAGTTTATATTATGTGGTGTGTTGTTAAATGTCTGCACATTGAAGCCCATTCGCTCTCTCTTCATTCTGCGTAAAGAACCTGATTTAATGTTGAGATCTCTGTCAGCTTGCATAGTAAGTCCATGTTTTTGTTTGCTTGTTTGGAGTGACTGCTTGTTAAGGAGTTCATGAAAATAAACTTTCTTTCCAGTTAGACCTTGGAGGATACAATGGAGAATGAGGTGGAGAAAAGACCCTCAGGAAATGCTTCCAAGAAGCACATAGGAATGTGGGTGTTAGCCCTTGAAAGCAATGTGGAAAACTGCTTAGTGAGTCTCACTGCATTCCACTGATCTGTTTCTGAGGGCTTGTGATGTCTGTCACTTGCCCCATATTTTGGCAGGCAGCACTATTGCTACTGGCAAATGACATTTGTCACCACTGTGTTGCCAACCAGATGTGTAGGATACTACTCTATAGTAAATCATAGCCCCTCACCCCAGAAGTGGGGCCATTATTAAAATCAGCGCTTTAAGGCTGAGGTGTTGACTCTCAAACCTGCAGGGCAAATCTGGCCCATCTGAAAACCCAATATGGCCTCTGAAATTCCCTAGATGCCCTTAGCCTCTCCCACAGCACCAGCCTTTTCCCTAAACACCCACCTGCTGGTTTCCCAGCTTTTGCCCAGTTTTCCCCCATTCTAAGTGATAGAAATGCCTCTCCTAAGGCTTGAACAAGTTTTCTGTTAAGCTATGATGACATCTGGGCCCCACCTCCATTTGCTTTCAATCCCAGCCACCAGTGGGATGCAAGAGCTGCTACAATACTGAATTTGCCACTTGGGCTGGAAGAGGTTCACATCCTTTGCTCTGCGGAATGGATGCTTCAGGGCACAGTCATATAGATTTCCCCCTCAACACTCACAAGACTTTTGAGCTTGGAGGCTCAGAGCATCCAGTGTGGAGTGGCAGGGACAGCAGAGACAATCCCCACCAACTCACACCTCAATTTGCAGCCACCTAGCTAGAAAGGAGGGGAAGAGGCTGGAACACTATCAGAATACCTGGAGGCCCCCATCTCCCCATGCCCTGGAATGCCCCCTTGACCTCCCCTCTGAGATTTAAGTTTGTGGCCTCAGAAAACAGCTGGTGTGGTTCTTTTTGCACCAGCTGTAGGAGGGAATGCAATCCCAGGACAGATCAGAGCCAAGCTTAGAACTGTCTTTGCAACCAAGATGCTGTCTAGGGACTGATAGGGTTGCTCTTTTAAGGGATGAAAACGAATAACTGGGCAACCTGCAACAGAAGGAAAACTGGACAGACTGGGATTTAACTTCAAGTCAGTTTTATTTGTAAGTATCTGTGGTAGGGGGAATTGTACAGATCCAGTGAGATGCATAATATTTTCTCCTTTTCAGTGAACTGTATTTATTTTTGTTTTTACTTCAAATAACCTGTATTTATCAGAAAGAACTTTTAGCCTCAGCTTCTCCTTTCTTGGAATATTCATGATTAACCAAGAATTAGAGCAAGCAATCCCTGTGGAATGCTGGTCTACTTGAGCAGTATTAAAAAGGAAATTTGTTGGCCAAGCACAAAATGTTGAAATGGATTCTACTCCACCAATTTTTTTTAATGCCTAGGACAAGGGACAATACATCTAAACAAATCCATCTGTTCATTTGCCAGTGGAATGGCATCTGTTAGCACAGGAATGGGGAGTCTGTGGGCAACCAGAAATGGATGGACTGCAATTGTTATCATCCCTGACTATTGGCCATGGTGGCTGGTGCTGATGGGAATAGGCCCACACTGTCTGGAAGGCCACAGGTTCTCTACTCCTACACGAGCAAAATTGGATTTCCTCTTTGCTTTGCCTTCCTACCCAATTCCCCCTTCCACACTCTGGAGGACTGGGGGACCCTTTAGAGCAGGTTCCAGAGTGACACAAGGGGAGTTACAGGGGGGAAAGGGGGCATTCCCATTGTGTGAAAGATCCACTTGCTTAATGTTAGATGTAGTTCAGTGTGCTGAACAGCTGCACAAGATAAAATGAGCTCCTGTATTCCACATGGGTGGTTGGCCTATGGCTGACTGAGGAGCACCATGCCACATCTCAGTAAATAACCGTACCTCCGGGAAAGCCATCCGATTTGGGAGGGGAGTTTAATGGGAGAGTTGTGGAGCCTTAAATTCCCTCTAAATTGCCTCTAAATTCCACTTGAGCTTGGGCTGCTGCAGTGCCAGTACCAACTGGAGACCAAGGGGATGCCAGTGGCAATTCACTATGGAAAATATGGGTGAAGTGGTACCCATTGGTCGTGGTGAGATGTGGAGTGTAATTTTCTAGAAATACTCATCATAGCTAAATACATATCTAATATCCTGGACCTTGTGCTGTCCAACCTCCAATAGGAGAGGAATGAGAATTATACAGGTATATATATTAGAGCTATACTGAAAATTGCTTTTACCTTTTTTATTCAGCTTTATAGAAGAGTAATTGCTTTCAAAAAGAAATCTAAAGCAGAACAAGATTTTATAGAAATTATCATGAGCTGGTCTAGGTGTTTTTACTTAGGAAGTGGCTGAGCTGCATGTGCGAGTGTGCTGTCTTTCACTATCCAGTCACTTCCTTGGTTTCCCATACTGTGAATAAAGGCCAGGGGAAGCCCCATCATGAAGTGATTCCTTCCACTGGACTTTTTCAGATCAGAAACCCTGAAAGGCTGCAAAGCAGTGGAGAGGTGCAGAATGGAAAGACAAAGCACATACTGCCTTCTTAAGCACCGTCAAATTGTCTCTACCATTTTTGTGGTTGCTGCTTCTCCTACACACACAATGCCCTTGAATGACACTAGATATGGAGCACAGTGGAGAACCTGATATTGCCACTTGCAGTGGCAGCACAAAAAAACCCGAACAAACAAAATCCAAAGAAAGCGGGAAGAAGCTATGCCAATGGTGAGCCCTACTTCGGGGAAACTGGGAATTTCTCTTTCTTCTAGAGAACTTTGGTGAAATCAAATAGGGTTAATTTCAGGAGGGTTAATTTCAACCCTACACACAACTCTAATGCATCTGTATCTATATGGATCTGTGTGTTGATGTAAATTATGGGTTGATCTATCACACTGTTTGTATTTTCTATTATTCTCCAAACATGGAGCATGAACTGTCTTTAGTGACAGCAGTGGCAAAGCTCAATTCCTTTGGAGGCTTCCTTTACTTAGCTCCCTCTGGTGGTTTCCCTTTTTATCTGTTACAGCACCATGAAATACACTTGCACCAGGAGAAGGTCGGGCTCTGAAACCATGACACAGCTTCACCCTGCAAGTGCCTGTGAGACCAGGAGAAGCCCTGCAGGTCCTGACAAGGACTGAAGAGTATGCAGCCATGCAGTGCAGCTGGTAGCTCTGGAAGGCCCCAGAAAAAGGCTTCCCTGTGCTGCTCACCTTTGCCACAACAACATGGGCTTTTGTGGTGGCCACATTGTACTTTAGACCGTTTCCAGCTTGCCTTCAACTGTGTCTTAACTCCTGCCTGCTCCTCTTGCCTTCCATCTCCCCCTGCTTTGCTAGGTAGCTGATCCTCCTCTTTGCCTCTGGTCCTGCTTTGCCTTGCTGGGTTATCTGAGCCTTCCCTGCTCCTGACTGTGCCTGTGCTTTTGGATCTGCCATGCCTTGTCAATATCCAATCTCACTTGTTCCTGGCTCCACCTTCAGCTTTGGACCTGCCACTCCTTGCTGAGTATCTACCTTACTTGTTCCTGGTTTGGCTTTCACATTCAGACCTGCCAGGTTTTGCTGGGTTGCTGACCCTCACTTGTTCCTTACTCTGCTTCTGGTTCTGCTGTGCCTTGACCATATCTGACCCTTGCTTGCCTGCCTTTGCCTCTGGGCCTCCTACATTCCACAAAGAGCTCCATCCAGATCCATCACCCCTGGTCCGGGCATGACACCTGCTGCCTAAGCCTTGGACCTGACAGAGAATTCCAACCTGGTGTAAAACAGCTCCACATCCAATTTGATTTACTAAGGTTAATTATAAAATTAAACATTTCCAAACAAGATTGGATATGAAAAGCTGTAGATGTCTGTAGATAAGTCCAAATTGGATCTTTGGGAAAAAGGAAAACACTTGGGTTGTGTCCCATACATACTTATCTGGGAGTAAGTTCCATTGGACTCCAGAGGACATATGTCTGAGTGGACATGCACAGGATTGCATGTTAATGTCACAAAGGCACACGCAGCAGCTTGGACTCTAAGAACTGTTTAACAATAGTTACAGATCACAGACTTCTTTTCCCTCTGGTAAATAGGGCACAGCCATGTATACATTAGAATCCTTGTCTGCAAGCACTGTAAGAAAGCCACAGAGAACTGATCTGGGTTCTCTAAGCATTTTTGTCTTCTAGACTGGAAGGGCCTAACCACTTCCAGCTCAGGAGTCAACTTCAATTTCAAAGAGGCTCATGAAAATTACATTACAGTGGTGGGGCAGGAGCAAAAATAACTAAAGTATGCTTGTAGTTTGGGTAAGTAACTAGGTCTTAAGAAGAATCTTCTCCACTGTTTAGATGAGGTGAGGGAACAGCACAAAATCCAGCAAGCCATTAACACTTGGCAAAAAGGAAGCCAGGCTAGGGCACTTGGAACATGCGAGTGAGGTGGACAGGGAACTGAGGTGGGCTGCAGGCCTGAAGTTCACCCCCTCCCCACCCACCCACCCACCCAGCATGGAGATCTGCCATGGAAATAGTAAGTTTTGGCCACCTGTGCCTCCACAGTGCCAGTCTTTGCTTCCTCCCAAGTACTACCTGTCTATTTGTAAAGCAGTGACAATATTACAAAACGCCAACAAGTCTCCAGTGAATACCTTTTCAAGGGAACCAAGCTCAGGTAAGCACAGGGATCCCGGAACCTCCCACCACTCAGAGAGGTGGGGTGAGCTTCGCGCAGATACAATTCCGACAAATGCACAGAGGCCAACTCTACCACTCGCAGTTCCTGCGCTGCTCTTTTCATGGTGAGACAAAGAGGAATCGTTCTTATCACAAGGGAGAAAGAGAAATGAGGTATTTTGTTACACTGAAAGAATTTTTAATTTCCTCTTGAGGCACAGATATTTCTTTTTGCTGATAAAACTGGGATGGTTGCCGAGTACTAGAAGCAGTTGCTTTGGTTACCATTCTGCTGGGCCCAACATTTATCCAGCCAGCAAGGAACACCCCACTCCACCCCACCCACTCACTCGTTACTTGTCTCATATCCGAAGAGGAAAGCAAAGGCAGATGCTATTCCTCCTGTTCAGACAGACTGTAATTGTACAGGTTGCTCCCTCACTGGGAGCCAGCTTCTGCAGCCAACAATGAGCAATGCTGCACGTTGACTATAAATGGTATGAATTTTGGAAGCTCAGAAGATTTAATTCCTTTCCATAGCATCATGTAGAAGGCTTATTGACTTGATATATTTTCAGAGACAGGGAACCACACGTTTGTGTTTTTCTCATGGCATGCTGTATAATACACACCTCCTGACTGTTGTGCTTTGTTTTGCTGCCATTCCAATGTTTCAGTATCATGAATGGTAGCTGATTATAGGAAATCCAACTTCCAAGAAGTGCGATTTATGTTCTTTGGATAGAGAGGCATATGGTTTTGTGCAACAATCATAGCAACGTAGTACACAGTGACGAGAAGGAGAGCAATTTTGCTGTTATGGTGCTGATGAGACACCATTCTGGTCCCTCTCCTTCACTTCTGGAGCTCTTTTTATATGGGTAAGCATAAGCTGAGCTATGCTGGATCACACCAAGGGCCAGTCTGTTCTGGCATTCTGTTCCCACAGTGGCTGTCTGGAGGACCATGATCGGTGCAATAGCACACTCCTCCCTGGGTTCTTTAGCATCTGGCATTGCGAGCTGGTCCATTACTGGACGCAACGTAAGAGCCATGCTAAGATCATACCAAGCGTCGGCCTGATTTGGATTTTCTTTTTCAAACTGGCAAACCAGCTTTCTACATAAAACCATCAGGTAGGACTTGAGTGTAACAGTACCCCAGAAACTAGAGTGCCTCCCACATTGGAGGTAGAAGATAGCTTTCAGGATTAGCAGCCCCTGAGCGCTTTATCTACCATAAATTTTACAGCCACCCAGATTGGTGGCCATCACTACCTCTTGTGAATGTTAATTCTACTGTGTATGCACTGTGTGAAGAAAACCTGTGTATCTGCCCTGGATCTCAGCTTCATGGAATAATTCTAGATTCATGGAATCAGCTTCATGGAATAATTCTAGATTCCACTTGAAGTTTGAATTTTTTGCCCCAAAGTGCATCACTTAATCCTGCTTACATTGAAACAGATTGGCCAATTTAATGTCCATTTTCCCAATCTAGAGAGATCCTTTTGGAGGACCTAGCGATCCCTTTTTGTTTTAAATGCTCTAATTAATTGTTAGCAAACCCCTAACATCAAATACCAGTTTGCATAACAAGTAGTGCACTTTTGTGCTTTTACAAATATATTATGATCTTTAGTTGATGATCTTCAGAAGTACCAGCTAGATCAGGGACTGTTTTCCTCTTGAGGCTGTGGAATGATCTCCCCTCTGAGATAAACAACCCCCCTCCTCTGTGGGTATCAGATCCTGGAATAATTTCAATGTAAGGCACAACTGGAGTGCAGTTCAAGGAAGAGCAGATGGTGGATCAAAATGACAACAGAGATGGTTACAGATAAACTAGAGATTAGGCAATTAATCCAGAAGAAGGATCAAAGGGCCAAAGGCAAATGTGGAGTCAGCTTCAGCCAGAGCAGCTCTCCCCAAACTGGGTCTGCCCAGATACTGCAGACTTCAACACCTATAGTCCCCTAGCCAGGAGTCCAAAATATCTGGAGGGCCCCAGGTAGCAAATAGCCCGTGCAGAAAGTCGGGTTTCAGGGCAGCCAAAGTGCTGGAGGGACCAGAAGCCACTGCGAAATCAAAGACAGCCCACTGAGTAGATGTGGCTGCAAGGGCCTTACAGAGCTGACTATGTCATGGTTGGCTTGGACAATCCCTTGATGATATTTGGGCTTGAGGGGTAGTCAGCTGATTTTCTTCTGCCTGGGAGTGCAGTCTTGAAGAAGACCACTCCGCTTCTGTGAGGGCTAGTCTGCTGGACCTCTGGAGGACCCAGAATACTTGCCATGCTCAAAGACACACTGCTGGAAATTGGCTGCTGGTCAGAGGTCCCCCTTTTGGTACCTTACACTAGGGAGTGGCTTTTCTATTGAATTTGTGTTTGTCTGCATAATTCTATTGAATTAGCCCTGTTTTCCACAGAGGCTTTGCTTCTTAGTTTATTTTTATGAGTTCAAAGTGCCTTGAAAAAGCTACTAACAAGTAATATAATGTTATATATACACACAGAGTTTACTGATGGGTTAAAAGAAGGTCTTAGAGCAGGCTGAAGAGTGAGGGGGAGCTATAAAAACAGCAGCTGGAATCTGGGCTGTGGAAAGAGTTCTTTCCAAATTGCAAAGATCACCCATCCCTGTCTTTACAGTTCTTCCATACTGGGAAGTTCATATCCACCAGCTTCCCTTGTTTCACAGACTGTGGAGACAATTCCTCACATCCACGAAATGCAGCTGCTTCTAGGTTAAGAATCTCCTTGTCGTCTTCCTCCTCTTCAGCTAGGCACCTCTCAGCAAAATGCTGTAATAATTCGAAAAGCATTCATGATCAATGCTGTAACTGTTTTCCCTAACGCTTTCAAAAAATTCCAAATGTGGATTTACATACACACCAGCAAATAGCCCTAATTCAAATTAGTTTCCATTTGTTGAAACCTTTCTACCTACCTGCATGTACTGGTTGGCACTTATAGCAGACACTTAGCAGGTTCAGTCTGAATAATGTCAGGCTGCTAAAATTGCTCCCAGGAGCATTGCCTTCAAATGCCAAGTCTCAGGACTTTTGTCCTCATTACACATTGCCTGGGGAAACCCTTAACAGTACTGTGGCCATGTCTGGCAGTGCTAGCTATCTCAGGAAAGAGATTTCCCTTCATTCAGTAGGAAGATTAATCATTCTCCCAAAAGTTCCATCATTGTCCCACTCCAGACAAAATAGTTCACTTCATCTTCAGGGAGGGAAAGGCAGCATTCAGAAAGGAATGATGGGGAAAGTTCTCAGAAAGCTATAATGTCCCTTCTTGATAAATATAGGTTTTAATGTGGTGGTGGTGGTGGTGGTGGTGGTGGGTGTGTGTGTGTGAGAGAGAGAGCGAGAGCGAGAGCGAGAGAGAGAGGTCTCTTAATTCCCTCTCATAACAGAATAAGACTTAGGCTGCAATTCTGTACTCAGCTTTCCTGTACTTGGGATCCTCTGGATGTTTTAGACTACAGTGGTATTCAGTTGTCTCTATCAAGGATTTAAAAAATCAACACACTTGTAGCAGAGTTTATTTATTATCTTTATTGCATTTCTATACCACCCAGGAGTGAAGGCCCTGTGATTGGTTGCCAGCAATTAAAAGGCAAAAGGGACCCTAAACGGCTTGGGTCCTGGCTACCTGAACGAGCGCTTACGTCCGTATATGCCCGACCGCCCTTTGAGATCTGCGGGAGAGTCCCTTCTCCGGGAACCCTCCATGAAAGAAATTAGGACAGTAAGTACTCGGAGGAGGGCTTTCTCTGTGGTGGCACCCAACCTATGGAATTCACTCCCCAAAGAGGTCCGCCTGGCACCGTCGTTACTGGTTTTTCGGCGCCAGGTAAAGACCTTTTTATTTAAACATCATTTTAATTGTTAAAACATATGATCTGGCCAGGGCAACTTCTTCTTCCTTCTCTTTCTCCTCCTATATTTTTATTTACTTAATTTATACTGATAATTTTAATCTTATATTTGTAAATCAATGTATTTTTTGTATTTTGTATTTAATGGTAATTTATTATGTGCTATTGTATTTCATTGTATTTGATCATGTTGTAAGCCGCCCCGAGGCTTCGGCAAGGGGCGGCATAGAAATGTTATAATAATAATAATAATAATAATAATAATAATAATAATAATAATAATAAAAAGGTAAAAAACAAAAACCCAGCAGCTGTGTAAAAATCTAGAAATACAATGACAAAAGAACACAAAGGTCTGGGAGAATAAGAAGGTCTTCACCTGGCACCCAAAAGACCACAACATAGTGGGTGTTCTGGTTTTATACCACATCAGTCTTCCAAGTTGAGCATAAAAGAATATGTCAGTGGGGGATAAAGCCTGAACAAGCTGGGCCACAGTGTGGAACTGGGACTCTTCAAGATGTAGCCTTAATGGAGACTCAGTTTTCAATCTAGAAGGACTTAAAAGCTGGCAACACTCCAAGTGAAGTCTTCCACTGGAATAGGCTGGGCAAAATCGTGCTAGTAGCAGCATCTGGGTGAATTAGCTTAATGGGAAGGCAGATGCAAGATGGCAGATGCTTTTATCCTGTTACTCTGTAGTAGCCTTCCCTAGGCTGGTTCCCTCTAGCTGTATCGAAGTACAGTCCCCTCATCCCTGACCATGCTGGCAGGGGCTGATGGGATTTGTAATCTAAAACACCTAGGGGCACCAGTTTGGGGAAGCTGCTTTATGGCAAACCTGCACAAATTGAGACTGACTAGTGCAGCCCATCAAACATGACCTTGTGCGACTGAGTAAGTGGTCAAAATTCCCTGCCTCTGTCTTGGCAGTCCAAAGCAGCTGGCAAGAGGGAAGAACTGTAAAGCTCTTCGTGGGAAGGCTGCTGCAGCTGACTAATGAGTGGCAATCGGCCTGATGGGCTACAAGTCAGTAGAAATATGTCAAGCACATTCAATCTCTTATTCAGTGCTCATGTTAAGGGGCACCATGGGGTCCCTATCATGCTCACCCACGCTTTCTAAAAGAGACATGTCCAGTGCTGAGGGCTGTCAAATTGAAAATCAAAATGCTGCTATTACTTAGTTGACAGAATTATATTTTTGATGACAAAAGAAACATGAAAGTTCCCTTTAAAGTATCATTACCCAAATAGTGCTCCACAATCCTGTTGAAATCATGTGGATGACAACCAGTGGTTATCCTATGCATACTGCATTTCATGCATTTTATATTATGCTGGCCCAGGAGGCCAGTTTAGTTTTGGTCCAGACTTTTGGGAACTTCTGGGCATTCTCAGCCCTATGTAGGAGAATTCTGGGTAATAAAAATTTCCCATCATACTCTGGTCTTCTGTCTCCCAACTGCTTTCCCTTTCTCCTTAATTCAGGAGAACTGTTAACTGACAGGCAGTCACTTTACAGCCGATAGTACTCTATGTTGGAAAGTTATCAGGGGCAGTCCCCTGTTTAAATGTGTCTTCTATTTGATGGGCTGCCCAGTCCAATTTTTTTTAAAGTCAAAGAACCATAAGGAGGGAGGAGCAAATCAACATTGAACCCCTGTTGAGAAGACTGAGCATGTCCAGAGTCTCATCAGTTTTCTCAGTCATGGTGAGATGTACACCTTTTCTATTTAGACTATAGCTATTCTTTCTAAGTTTGTACCTATACATGTAAATTTGCACATGCAACTTTTATGCATATTGTTGCCTTCTTTTATGCTCTTCTCAGTGATGAAATTGTTCTTTTTTGACAATGCAGAACTGGCCACTTAATGGCTAGCAGCAGCTTAAATCTTAAATGCAGTTTTTACTGGACTATATTTTACTCAGAGGCCAGCAGCTAGCAAGTTAAGCCTGATTACATACACATTGAATCAGAGTGCTCTGTCATCCACCAGGACAGACTGATTTAATTTATTTATTTATTTATTTTTCGATTTATATCCTGCCTTTTTCCTACAAAGGGCTGAAGGCAGCTTACATCTCCTCCTCCATCTTATCACCACAACAACAATCCTGTGAGGTAGGTTGGGCTGAGAGTCAGTGACTGGCCCAAAGTCACCCAGTTGGCTCCATGGCTGAGCGGGGACTAGAACCCAGATCATCTGAGTCCCAGTCCCATGTTCTTAACCACTACACCACACTGGCTCTCTAAATCAAGGCATTTTAAATCAATTTTCGGGCAGCAAGGAAAAAGGCTTATTTAAATAGTTTCCATTTTATAAACAGTGGTGCAGTTCTGGCTATGAAACCATGCCAGTGTACAGCTAAATAGATTTTTATGCTATTACTTTATTCATATGAAAAATCTTTGCATCTCTTTAACACACTGACCTGGTTCAGATGACATGACAACCCATCAAGTGTAACAGGCTATGGTGAATTGTCATGCAATCCAGGCCAGACCACTTCCCATAGGTAGCTTGTTGTTTTCAAACAAGCCGCCCTGAGAATCCACAGGCTGTTTTAGGAGGCATATGTGGTCATTCAGATTCAAATGTGTCATTTGAATCTGAGTGACCAAACGACTGTGGGCAAAGAGAAATGGTGAGTGAGCTGCAGATCAAGACCAGCAAAACCCCCCCTTGCCACTTCGCCAGTCACAGACTCTTCAAGGTGCCCAAACTGCACTTTGGAAGAGTTATCATTGCCTTCGGCTACTCTTCCATTTTCAACTTGCACTTCAAAAGTGCATAATTTTTTTCACTGTGTTTTTCATTACTTCTGCAAGTGGAGAGATGTGTCTTTCCGCAGGTTCAAAATAGAAAGCCTTGTCTGGGCAATATCCTGAAGGGTACCTGCTGTCTAAATGCAGCAGCAGCAGCAACAATGTTGGACAATGACAAAAAAGGTGTCCAACTGGTTTATTCTTACATTGCTTTACCATGACAGCTGTTAAAAGGCTGTTAAAGGGCAAGCTGTCAGGGGAATGCAAAACTGATCTTTGCTTGTAAAAGAGATTATTTGCCTTTTTCTCCCATTGCAGTGAAAATCTTAGGGCCTTCAGTGCCTCCAACATTTCCACCCATTCCTAAAACTCTAGGCAATTTGTTTATAATTTATTTAAAACTTTTATATCCCATCCACTACGGAGGTCTCGGGACAGTCTTACAATAAACAGGGTGGAACACAGCAATTGGGAATGTGTACAAACCAACCCCCATGTTCCCAACACATGTCTTTGAAAACTGAAGGGAATACGGCTTCTTAAAAACAACAAACAAGTATAGCCAATTTATTTATTTGTTTAGGATTGGTAGGTGTTAATGTTTGTAAACCACCCAGAGAGCCCTCTGGGCTACTAGGGTGGTATATAAAGGCACATAATAAATAAATATTGCTGGGACAAGCTAGATGCAACCTCTGTTTGGAAGGTGAAGTGTAAATATTGCTATCTGATAAAATATTAGATTGTGTTTTTTATTTATTTACATAGAAAAGCCTCCTTTAATTCACTGTACCTGATTCAATTGCACCATTAACTGTGGGTCTAACATATTTACATTCAAATTATTTAATATTAACAAACCTATTCTTTAAGAGAAAACTAATTTTACCATTTTTTTTAAATGGGGAAAACATGATTTTTTTTAACTCCAATTTAAACAAAATAATATCAAATTTTTAACCGATTTGCATCCTGCCAATCTGAATCAAGCAGCAGCACCAAAGTTAAAATAATTTTCCTAGGCTGCTTAACAATATGAATCATGGAATTGCTAACAACAATAATGAAGTTTCCTCTGGGGTCAGATGCCCGGCATGTGATGCAGTAAGGAGACTAGCATGTGAAGGCGTTCCAGGCCTGCAGGCTTCTTAGCAGCTGCTCTTAAAGATAGAGAAACAGCTGCCCAAGAAATAGCTAATCTCAAAGCACAAGCAGGCACACAGCAGGTCAGATGCAGGCCTTCATAAACAGCTAGCTGATGGGACAGTGCTGTGCTGCAATTGAGCCTTCCTTGGTTGTTTCTTTTCACGGGAGACAAATGGTAGTAGAGAATAGTGTAGGGAGAAAAGGATTGCCAGCATGGTAACAAAATCATGTGAAGTCTAAACCAAACTTATCTGAATACTGTGTTCAGAATTTGGCTAAGCAGGAAAAAAAAAACCAATCTAATTTGTTTCTATACTCTGTTTTGGTCTCAATGTGCATGATGCACACATATTTTCTGAAAATGACAGAAAATGCCTGCAGAAGCAGGAAAATCTTTGCAGACACTTGCAGGGAACAGAGTGCAGTTGGAGACCCTGGAGGTCAGAATAAGAGGCCTCCCTGCATTGCCGCCTTTGCCAAGCAACATCAGCTGTCCATTTGACTCTCTTGTTCTCTGGCTCTCTGCATTGCCTGGCCTGAATCTTGGTTCCTGCCTGCCTGCTTCGCTCCTGCCTGTTCCTGTTTCCATGCTTGTCTCCAGTCTGGCCCTGATTGCCAGGTACCTGCACCCATCTTCCTTGACCTCAGCTTGTTCTTGAATGTGCCTGTCTTTCTGGAACTTTATCTTTGGATTGTGTTATCTTGGACTGTGTTTGCATGGGTCTTTCATCACCCTGACTTTGCCACTGGACTATTAATGTGCCTCTTGTTTCTGGCCATCTGAACCGGCTGCAGGACTCCACCTTGTACCTGTGCACTGGGGTCCCAGAGTTCCCATCTTAGTTGCCTGCAGCCCATGCCCCGGACCTTACTCCAAGTGAGAGGAGGGAGTATAAATACTTTTTTAGTATAACATGATCTTAAAAATTTCCCTTTGTAGTCTGACAGGTTTTTCTTTGCATATAGTACAAACCACTCATCTTCCCTTGATCACAAAAGTGGAGCATTAAAATGGTTGTCACCTTGGGGTGGGGGATTCCATTCCTGGGGATCTGAAAATATGAATATGAAAATAGTTGAAGGTGGTTTGCTTTTCCTGTAACATTTTTTGTGCAACGGATACAAGGAAGAATGCTTGCTAACTTTCTCTTCCTAGTTCTTCCCCTTCTGCTGTAATTTTTTCCAGTGTCTGCTAGAGGCTTGGATAAGTAATAGCATCAGACTGAAACTTGATAGTGAATAGATCTTCTTCTTTTCCTGACTTTAAAAAAATCTCATCTGGACTTTATGTGTATGAGCATCATGATAGCCAGTTCTTGCATATTTACAGCCTGCAGCACAAGTTTAACTTACTTTAAGCCAGTTGAATCACACAGAACCCATCTCACTATGTAGAATAGCGGCGCAACTGTAAGCATGTGTAGGTGGATAAGAAATTTGTAAACTTCCCTTTCAGCACTGAGCCTACTTGCCAAAATAGCCCATGGAACTCACTGGGGCTTACACTGAAATATAAATGTTCAAGCTGAGGAATAAACATCTGCCCATTTTAAGGAACAGTTCATTTGCTTCAATGCCTTAAAGACGTCTTCCACAGCTTGGCACTCTCTACTTGCATTAGTTGTGATTCTAGCATGTCCAAATGGCTGGTAATTCTGAAAGAGGCAGCACATCACATCTAAAGGAGATCAAGTGGGGGAAACAGCTCCAGGGCTTTGGAAGGCTGCCCTCTGTGCTTCCAGGCAAGGCTCGTATTGACACAGGGACCCATATTTCCCTTCTTCCTTCTCTGGCACTTTCCACAGAAAATCCATGCTTGCGGGTAAGATAGAATACTGCACGGTATCTTTGAATTAGCAGTGATAGGAACTCTGTGTGAAAACAGTTTGCTATAATTTGTGTCATAGCTCAGAAATAAAGTGCCTTATTTTGATTAGTCTAGTTCAGGGGTCGGCAACCTTAAACACTCAAAGAGCCATTTGGACCCGTTTCCCACAGAAAAGCAAACACCGGGAGCCACAAAACCTTCTTGACATCTAAAATGAAGATATCACTTCATATATCGTTTTTTACCTTTATGCTATGTATAAAAAAAACTATAGTGTGTTGCATTTATGAAATCAATGAATTGCTACAGAGAAAGCAGTGAAAGCAAATGAATCTGCCCACGTACCATTAAACGTTCTGTTTTCGTCTGAAACTTTTATTTTCTTGGATTTATCCGTGGTTGGCCTACCGGGGGTCGAAAAGCCAGCAGGTGTCACACATTGGCGGTTGAGACGCATATTTTGAGCAACAGGGAGCTGCAGCAGAGGGATGAAAGAGCCACATGCGGCTCTGGAGCCGCAGGTTGCTGACCCCTGGTCTAGTTGATATTGCTTTAGCAACACTACATTCTAAAATGAATATCCCAGCAATTAATTAATTCATGCATATCCTGACCCATTTTGACTTTCAAGAAGCCCAATGCAGCTTGCATAATCACTACAACCCCATGAAGTTGGTTAGGCTGAGAATCTAGCCTAAACGCACTTGGTAATCTTCATGGATGAGAATACAGATATTTTAAATGGTGTGGCAAAAAGACACATCGTAATCTTGCTCTGTTTCTCGATGTGTGTGTGTGTGCAGAATCTCAAGCCACACATAAATACACTATTTCTCAGGGCTGGAGGAAAAAAGAAGAGCTTCTGCACCTTTACTAGTTGTGCAGAAGAGCAAATTTCAGCAAACCTACCTTTTTCTGAGAAGCTACACTTTTTGAATTTCCTTCTCTTCTATACAACTATTATAATTCCAACATCTATATAGTATAATGGATACCTCTACTTAGGCCAACTCAAAGATCACCAATTCTATACAAGCTTTTGAGATCTCCATATCTGTCCATCAGGTAAGATCAGGGGTCCTCAAACTTTTTCAACAGGGGGCCAGTTCACTGTCCCTCAGACTGTTGGGGTGGTGGAATATAGTTTGAAAACGAATGAATTCCTATGCACACTGCACATTAAAAATGAAATTAAAATAAATTTTAAATTGACATTTAAAATTAATTAAAGAATTAAAAAATGTTTGCTCGCTTGCTCGGAGAAGGCCGTGGCGGAGGTACAGGAGCCCTGCGGCTTTCTCTGAGTAAGCTGCTCCGCCTCACCCTGTCCACTCCGGGCTCGGCGAGGTGGCAGCAGCGGCTTGCTCCCTCAGAGAAGGCTACACGGCCTGGCTGTCCCTGGGCTCGCATAGTTAAAAATAGATTTAAAAAGTTATATTTTTCTTAGCTTCAATCCTTTTTTAGTTTCTTTGTCTTCATCCCTTTCTCTTCCGCCCACCTCTCTTCTGTTTCCCATTCCATATTCCCACTCTGTATATGTGTGCAATTGGGGGGGGGGGGGATTCAGCACACGCGCAGTTGAGCTGCTGCAATTTGGCACATGCACCGGCTCTCTGCTCAGTTTCTAAGAAAGCCTGTCCCAGCTCAGAGCTTTTGGACTTGCTTGGAGATAATTTTCTCTGAGCAAGTCCAAAACCTCTGAGGTGGGTGGGATAAATGAGCGTGGTGGGCTGGATCCGGCCTGCGGGTCTTAGTTTGAGGACCCATGGATAAGATATTTGAAAAGGTAGATTTGTGAGAGGAGAGAAGGCTGGATATTGTTGTCAGAACTTGGGCCATGCAGATATCCTGATTATGCCATTCATTCTTTTTAAAAATATTTTTTTTTCTTGATAAAGAGATCTAAAAATATCAAATGCTTGCACATTGGTGATCTTTGTTGTTATGTGTCATCAGGTTTTGTCCCTATAAATGAATGCCCTCAAAAATGTCTTGTCATTGACATCCCCTCTCAGCTGTTATACACTCAAGACTGTAGCTTCTGCTATGGAATTGATCTATCTCACATTCAGTCTTCCTCTTCTTCGGCAGTGAGTCTTGCCTTCTAATGAGTTACCCAAACCATGATAGTTTTGCCATTTTTGCTTTCAGGGAAAATTCTGGCTTGATTTAATCTAAACCTGCTTGTTCATCTTTCTGTCAGTCCACGGTATTTGCAAAGCTGTCCTTCAACACCATGTTTTGAATGTATCAATTTTCTTTCTGTCCAGCCTTCACACCCATACATAGCAATTGGAAATACAATAATGTGAATTATCTTGGTCTTTGTCTATGGTAAAATTCCTTACACTTGATTTTTTCCCCTAGTTCTTTCTTTGCTGCCTGTCCAAGTCTTATTTCCCTGGCTGCAGTCTCCATTTGAATTGATTATAGAATTAAGTTATGCAAAATCTTTCACAATTTCCTTTTCTTAGTGTTGTCATTAAAGTTGCATAATTCTTCTGTAGTCACGATATTTGTTTTCTCAATGTTCAGCTGCAGTCCTGCTTTTGCACTTTCTGTCACTTTCATAAGGAGTCATTTCAGTTCACTGCTGCTTTCTGACAGTAATATGGTATCTTACTTAAGTTATAGGAAGGCTTGGAGGAATGTTGTCCATGGGGTTGCGATGGGTGGGACACAACTTTGCGACTAACAACAACAACTTAAGTTATATCTTAAATTACGGATGAATTTTCTGTCACTTTCACTTCTTCCTCTCATACCAAGCCAGCTTTCCTTATACTGTGTTCTGCATACATATTGAATACATGAGATAAAATACACTATTGTCTGATGCCTTTTCAATTGTATTCTGTCCAAAATACAGGTTATGCATAGGACAATCAAGTGCTGTTGCACACCTATTTCTTTCAGAACCACCCATAGGTTCTTGTGATTCGCACACTCAGAGGCTTGACTGACTCTATAAAGAATAGACTGATCTTATTCTGAAATCTTTGGTGTGCTCCAATAGCCAATGTATACTTGCAATTTGTGCTCAAGTGCCTCTTCCTTTCAGCATCCAGTCTGAATGTCAGGCATTTCTTGTTCCATATAAAGTTGTTTGTTGCAATAGCTTGACCATCACTTTGTTTGCATGGAAAATTAGATGCTGCAATCATTAGTGTCGCCTTTCTGTGGGCTAGTGCTTTTTTCCCCATATCCGTTGTTTTCCATATTTGTTGGCATATTCTTGTTAGGATATAGAGCAACTTACTCTCTGAAGCTTAGAATAGTTCTATCCATTCCGTATCTACTTTGGACGTTTTATGCCTCCCAAGTGCTTTCAGAGCCGCATTCATTTCATTTTCTAACATTGCAAGTTCTTCCCCTTTGGTTCCTCCTCAAAGACTCTCACTCTTTTATCTCTTCTGTATAGTTTTTCCATATATTCTTACCATCTTTTTATATTATCCTGGTGATCTATGTGAATTTTATTTTCCTTATGGCCGATAGAGCTGCCTTTTGTATTTTGTGCAAATATTAACAGTTCTTATTCTCATTCTCCCTAACTGTTGATACGACATCCTAGGTCTGAAATTTTGGGAGTGAAGATAATCGCGCGCACTCTGTAACAACCTTCCCCGTGACTCATAAATCTACCCCCATCTGATTTAATAGCGGCTTCCACTCCGCTCTTGCCTATATAAATCTTTAAACCCAAGAGGGGAACTTCTGGTAAGGCTTGTCGCCCATTGGCAGCCCGCGGCCTAGCCCATCCTCTTAATTGGGCGAAGAACGGAAGGCGGGAGGCACGCTGTGAGTGACAGCGGGTTGGTGCAATCGAATGGCGCGCTGGTTCGAAAGCAGCCTTCTGAAATCGAACGCGTCGGAGCCAATGAGGGGCGGCGGCGAGCTCTTGGGTTTTAACTAGCCGGGAGGGTCAGCTGAGCAGGTCCTGGAACTCGTGGCTGGGAGCGCTGCGGCCTCGATCCGAGGCCAGGTTCGGCACGCGCCGGGCTAAGACAGGTAAACCTTTTCTCCATGTCTCCGTGGGGACAGTCCCAAGAAAGTGCTGCCTCTCTTTAGCCAATTTCGGGGAGCCGTTTTGACTCTTTAGGGAATTTGAACCCCAGCACATTGACTGGGTCGACGCCGGGCTTCGGGTGGCTCATCAAGAGCGAGCCGAGGTAGCTCTCAGGAGCAAGAGGACGGGTCGCCTTGAAGAAGGGTTGCGGGGACTCTTCCTTTGAAGGGATCCCTGTGTGGGCCTTCCTGTGGGAGTAGACAGTGCAAAAAAGGGTTAACAGGTGCATCTCGGGCTCTGTTACCCGGGAGTAAGCCGAGGCGAACATACCGGGGCTAGTTCTGAATAGATATGCACCGGGTTGTGTCGGAAGCCTTTCTCGGCACGAGAAGGGATGCGATCAGCTGTTTCCTTAAGGCAAAGACGCCCTTTTCTCCTCTACCCTGTTCATTTAGTTCCCAAAGGATATCCAGGCGGGCAGTTCTTGTGCTGAAAGTGCAGATTCTTCAATTAATCATTTCCATTGTTTAATTTCCACGAAAGCAGGAAGTGCGTTGCAGGCTGTTGGCTTCTGAAAGCATCATAGTAAATGCATGTTGTAGAAATCGTGATCTAGGATTCCCTGAGTTATCTGGGAACATTGAGAAAACGAACAACTTCTGTTGCTTTTTGTTCTTTATTATTATTATTTACATCACCTTGTTGTTAACTGCTCAGAGAGTTCTAGCCATGGGCAATATAGAAATGAAATAATAATAAAATAATAATCTATGGCCTGCCTTTTCCTCCAAGGCAGTGTATAGCCAATTGGGCACAATTATTGCATTGCATTCATAGTCCACCTTTTGTACTCATGTGCGGAACTCAAAGCAGCTTACATAGTCCTCCACTCCAGTTTATCCTCACAACAAAAACTTTATGAGGTTGGGAGAGAGAGACTGGCCCAAAGTCACCTAATAAGATTCATAGTAAAGCAGGGACTAGATCTTGGATCTCTCATGTCCGCAGTTAATACACTGAATGTCAGTGATTCTGCAACATAGCAGTTACTATCCTGTTACAGCTGTAGTCCCACAGTCACAGTTTTTCTGCCTGTAAATATTATGTATTAAACATTTTGATCACTTGTGACTTGACTAACCACTGTGCTCATAGAAAAGCCTAGACATGTAAGCCAGCTGTTTTCCAGGTGAAGGATTCTGTTAGCAATCAAGTGTGTAATCTATATGTTCCTTCACAAAAGTGCATTGTGGTTTCAGTTAATTTTAGTTTCTGTGGTTTTTAACTTTTGTTACCTGTCCAGAGAGCCTCAGTATAAAAGTTAAATATAGTGTGTGAAAATGCTCTCTGGTGACGTAATTGTGACAACAGGTTTGCACAGCAGGAAGATTCACATTCTGAAGCTTGATGTTATTCATCAGTAATTCAATTGCTTGATGTATTTGTTTGTCATGGGATACAATATTTAAGGATGGAAAAATTCTGGGATGTTTAATCACAAATGATAAATAGTTCCTTTATTTCATGACTCAGACTGGAACTATTTATGCTTTGCCTTTGAAGCTTAATCTTGACAAGGAACATGGGGTTCATAGCATTACAAATACAGATAATAAAGTAATACTTCTTTGGCTTCAGCCCACTAGAAAATACATGCATGTTTCATGTCCTTTTGTACTGAGTGGATCTCTCTATAAGGATGAAACAGAAAATGACAGTGCCACCCTATGCATGTGTACTCAGGGCATCATCCAATGTGCCTGCCTCTCGGAACTGGGCATATTATGGAAATGGTCAAGCCTGGGAGGAGCACAGATTCAATGAATGCCTCTGTGCTTCCCCTGCCCTGGAAAGGACATGGGTGGCCAAAATTAGCTGTCTGTGTTTTTTGGCCCTGCTCATGAGGAGGACTGAGGAACTGTAGTGAATCCTCAGTGCTGACTTTGAAGCTGCAGAAGGAAGCCCTGCTGCTTAATCATGTAGGAGCCAGCTGCAGTGGGAAAGGAAGGTATTCTGCACATGCTCAGAAGTACTTATTTAGTTCTTATCTATGACTTCTGAAAAGCAGTTTCAGAAGTGTGATCCTTAAGAGGTTAGTAGGATAACTACATGACCAAGATTATCTACATGTGTTTCTTATTCCTATTACTTCATTGGGAAGAAGCATGGAAAGCATCCCTCAACAAGACCTAAGATAGTCCTGGTTGGAAAACTGGAGGACAGCATGGATAATTGCACATTCCACACTTGTCTTGAAGTTAGTCCTATTTGCCATGTGGCTAGGTGGGCACTAGTGCAGATGGAAACATTAAAGGTTTGTGAACAGAAAAAGCCCAACTACTGCATAGAGGTGCAATCCTGTGCATGTTTAATCAGAAAAGAAATCTTACAATAGTTGTGGGGCTTTGTTCTGTCTAAATATTCCTATGAATCTGTCCTAAGAAGAGCCAACTGTTTTTCTCCCCAAAATGAGCACAATTTAAGCACCTGTGTGCTAGCATAACAAATGATAGGGCATGATCTGGGCCAGGTTGGCCCGAACTGATGCTCCAGATCTACACAAACTACCCAGAAATGGCTCGGTTCCCTTGCCGATTGCTGCGGATCCAAACAGGCGTGCCCAGTCAACCAATGTAGCACAACATACACCTGAGCTCTAATTAGCATGTCTGTAGCAGATGCAGCTTTCCACAGTTTGTAAAGCTGAAAGCAGACAGTTGTTTCTTTTTCAAATCGCTGAAGGAGGTTTGGAAAGAGATCCATGTCCAAGGTATATATGCCTGCCACTTTCAACTCTGGTGAACTGGTTTTTCAAGGTTTGGAAAATCCATAGGACCTATTTGACAGAGGATTGAAAATCACAGTAAGCCAAACCTCTCTCTAGTCACTCTCAATTCATATAAAGCCGCCTGACTCTGGCCTAAGCAATCCTGGGCATGTTTACACAGAAGGAAATGCCACTGTCTTCAGCAGGACTTGTATCCAAGTAAGAGTGCAATGGATTACAGTCCTTAGAATTGGCTGCTCAGGCTGTGGTCTTGTCTGAGTTAACTTGTGCAAACCCCAGTGAGCATAGTGAGGTTTGCTTCCAGATAAGCAAGCAAGGATTGCACTGCCAGGATCTGCCTTTTCTTTTCAGGGTCGACAACTTGATATTTAGTTTGTGCACGTTCACAACCTCTACTGATTAGTTTGTTTATTTTTCAATCCTTTCTAGCTTGAAATGGTTCTTAGCTTAGAAAAACGTGCCTGTGTACTGGTGTTAAAAATGAAAGTAATTTTTCACTGCAGAGGAAGAAAGCAGCTATCTTTGCAGACACCTTTTTATAGATGAGAAGGATTCTGTTGTCTATTCTGTTTATGCTTCCCTTTTTGATAAAGAGCTTTCATTTCTGGATGAAAGAACCTCTTTATTCTTGTCAGACCAATATTTTCATTGTTATCCTGTGTATAGCAACTTTCTGGCTTAGGAACATAGGAAGGTACCTTACATAAGACTCTGTCCTCCATAAAATTGTCAACTCTGACTAGTGGTGGTTTTCCAGGGTTCTAGCCTACCAAGAGAAGCTGAGGATTGAACTTTGGACTTTTTGCATGAAAAGCAGGGACCATACCACTGAACCACAGGCCCACTTTGCTTTCAAGCTAGGATGGGCAGACCTCTAGCTGGTTGAATCTACTTTTTAAATGATAATCCCAAGGTTCACTACAGCAAAGTGGGCCCTGCAGATGTTTTGGCAATGACTTCCATCATTCCATATCATTCGTTACATTTCTATATTGCCTAACAACCAAAGCTTTCTGGGTGGTTTACAAAACTTAAAAACCTTAAAAACACAGTGTTATACCTAATATAAAAACTGTGAACAGATAGTAGACACACCTGCAGGAGTAAAGCCAAATGTAAAAAGGATATTCAGGGGCAAAACTAGTTAGATGCTATATCCCATGAGTCATAGACTGGATAATCTGGATATAAAAGTGCACCTCTGTATCTGAGCTGCTTCAGATCAGGGATTTTTATACAAAACTTGACAACTGCTGACAGAGCTGCAGAAAGGCCTAATCAAAGGCAACCCATTAATACATTTTACAGGTGAGAAATGTGGAGGATTCGAGGTGTAATTAGTACAAGGGTAGCCACAGCAGAGATTTCTTTTTCATTTTTCTCTACTCGCCTGTATTAAACTACTGAAAGTAAGAAACCCTTTCCAATATACTAGAAGTCTTCAAGCAATCTGTCTTCTTAACATATCCCTTCCTTTAGAGCACGGCAGCAAATACTGGGAAACAAGATGATAGGACTGTAGAGAATAGGAAAGAAGTATAATTCTTTAAACCTGTTTGGTCAGTCATTCTCAAAAAGGAACCCTCCAGATATTTTGCTTTACAATTTGATGTTATGATATTTGTATCATATTGTATAGTTTCTGTGCATTGTTATAAATTGCCCAGAGAGTGTCAGTTATGTGGTGGTATAGCAATTAAATAAATCAATAGTAATAATTATCATTTCCCCCAGGATTGCTAGACCTTGGCTGTACTGCAGTGGTTTGAAGTTCAAAATACCTGAAGGGTACCAGCTTGGGGAAAGCTGGCCTAGCTTACAATAAATCAAGTTAAAGGGTAGAGCTTAGAATAGAATCCAGGTCTCCTAATTCTCAATGGATTGTAACCTCAGAGACCTTGTTCAAATAATAATTAGGTTAACCAACCTTTGTAGCAAAGAAATATTATAATATCGATTGCACTGGCATTTATTTGCTACCAGACCAACTTTGGTACCAGTTTAGAAAGCCTAAACTGATTGGGACTAAAATACCTGGGAGAGCTCCTTCTTGCTTACAAGCCTGTTTGGTCACTGAAATGATCAAACAAAGCACTCCGGGTAATTCTGGACAAATTTGCGGCCCAACTGGAATCCCTTCAGGGTGTTGGTTCCCTCTCTGTGGAAGTCTCTGCTTCTAGATGCAGGCACCAATATTGTTTTGTTTCCAGCACCTGCTGAAAACATCTTTATTTCAACAAGCCTTCCCTGTTTGCAGAGCCATGGATTTATGGTTTTTTAAACCCGCCTCATTAATATTATGTTTTATTTCTTTTTATTGTTCCCTGCTCTAGAATCTGTTTTGATGTAGAGCAGTATACAAGTGTTGTAAATAAATTAATAATATAAAGAAGGGATGGGATAGGATGGCATAGAGAGAAGGAATAACTTCCAGGGATTCAGAGATGGTTCCAGTGTAAGCGATTTTCCTTCTTTTTCTGTGGTGCATGTGATGGTTATGTTCTAGAGTAAATAAGCAGATGTTTCCAAAAGGCTTTTACACAGATTTGTCTACAGATCCATTTGGAGATCAAAGTTTGCACCCTGATGTTTGTTTGCTTCCTTGCTTTGAGGCCTTGCACAAAGGGTGCTATATGCGGTCTTCAGCTTCTCGTCTCTCCCACTCCATGTCTCCATGCTTTCAGGTTAATGGTTTGACCCTGCGTAAGGCAGTTTGCTGTGTCCCTGTGACATGGAGCATCTCTCCCATGTTTATCTATCTGCTACCCCACTCATGGGACTCTCTGCAGCAGTAGCTGATCCAGTCTGGTGTAAGGAATCCCGGATGAAGTCCAAGGTTCAACAGAGGTGGAAAGGAGCGAGGCGGTCAATGGCTATAGCAGAAATGAAGGTTCAGGTGCTAGATGGCAGGGCCCCACCCATTGCTCTCACACCGGGTTCTGGGGACAGGAAAATATAACGGGGAGAAAGTGTGCCTCCATCATGTTCAGGTCTATAGTGGTATCCCTTTTGCTACCCCAACCTGATCCTAACAGCAGGGAGTGCTTCTGCAGAAGGGGAGTAGAGAGACCCATGGCCTGGATAAGGGACCCCTTGGGGGAATGCTTAAACAGGATGTGGGAGATTCAGTCAGTCAAAGGCTGTTCCGGGTCTGGAAAAGCAGATTAAACAAAGTCTGCCTGTCTGGGCAGTAGCTGCCAAGCCAAACAAAGAAGACCAGAAACCAGCTTAGGGCACCAGGGAGCAGGGGCAACAAAGGAAGTTGCCATAGTAACTGATGCTTCATACCTGTGTCTTTGTCCAAAGGCAAATGAAGTGCTTGCTCATAGTCTGCTGTGTTAGTCATTGGGCCTTGAATCCAGGAAAGTGCTTTGTCTGTCTTGGAGAGCTCCAGGAAGCTCTTGTGACGCTGCCTGGAGAAAGCTTAAGGCTCTGGTGGGTTCCTGATCCAAGGCACCAAGGACACTGGACACTGGTGCCACTTGAGGAGCTTTCTGGGGCTGCAGCAGTAGCCAGAACTGTGTCCTCCGATGCCATACCCATGGACTCCCCTCCTTGTATCTGCCAGTCTCTCTTTCCCTCCCAATTTTTATGTTATTTCTTACAATTTTTTAGTGATTTTTTTTTTTTTTTTGGTGGTGGTGGTGCGGGGCAACCTTTCAAAGCTGAGTGCTAGCCTTCAGCATCACCTGAACTTGGATTTCCAAGAGTAGTTTTGTGTTGTGGAGCTCAGCTCCACTTCTGCCCTGGATCTGGGACCTTGGACAGGTGACTTTTCATGCAGTCTCTCTGGTTAACTTCTAGAAAAATTACTATTTTGTGTCAGGGAATGCCCACCTTGGCAACCGTTTTGTCAGAGTGCCCATGATGCCCTCTTAAGATTCCAGATGTGCTCACCTAGAACTTCTTAGCTTCTCTGACCCCTGGAAACCTAATCTGGGACTGCTTATTTCACTGTCCCACTGTGTCACTTCACACATTCTGTGTATATTTATCATAGTTTTGCAAGATTCTCTGTGAAGAAGGAAACATGATCACCTTCATGAATAACTCGGACAGTGAAGAGGAACCCTGCAATGAGAGAACATCCCTGATGTCGGCCGAGAGCCCCCTTCTCCCTGCGTACCATGATGGTGTGCAAGCAGCTGAAACTGCAGACACTCACACACACCGGGTAGGTGGATTCCATTCAGGGAATCATGCCGGTCCTGTTGGCTGTGTGTGGGCTCTTTCTGCTTTCCTGAGTCACTCCATTGTATTGCTTTCTTTTTGAAGCGTTAGAATGGATGACCACCAGTGGAGGTGGGATTCCTGCTGGGCTGGGCTGGGCTGGGCATACTCAGAAGTCTAGAAGAGCACAGGCAGTGTTTGAACAATGGACACCCCAGCACACTCAAGCCTTCCCCCTTCCCTCCCTGCTCAGAATGGTTACTTTGGTTCATTGTTTCATGTTGTACAGGCAGAGGTAAAAGCCAATCTCCATGAATTTTTCCCCTATCCTTTGGATCACTAGGCTATAACCTGTAGAACAGTGGTGGGCAACCTGTAGCCCTTGGCCTGATTCAGAAGCCCACTATATGTGATCAGTTCAGACCTCTGGAAGGAATGAGTTGTTCCTTTGGGATAGTGTGCTGGGCAAGAAACAAGATGAAATGGAAGGGAAAGGAATAGGTGGCTGCAAGAGAAATGCTGCAAGCCACCTACTTTCATCTTTGGGCTCTGCCTGCTGCAGATAATGCAACCTCTGAAGGAAATAGGCTTGCCCATATCTGCCATAGAGCCAAACCTATACATTGCATTGAACAAATGAAGCCAGGGAGGTTGGCATTTGAACAGCCACAAAAATGTGGTGTTATGAGAACCCATGTTGTAACTTTGATATTAAGCTGCGGAGAAGAAGGATGGCAAACAAACTGGACATTGCCCCCTTAAGTATATCTAACATTTTTTTTTTTTATTAGTGGCTCAGTCAGCTGAGCAGGACATACTGGGTAGATGGCCGCTGTCTTCTCTGAAAATTAGTCACTGGCTACCTCCTGACTATTAACTCCTCCTGGCTTCCTTATCTCCTATTCCGTATTTTTCTGACTTGTAGCTGGTTTTGGCACAGGGAAATGAGGCATCTTCAGTGGGAAACTGGCAATCCAGATAACAGCCCTTGGAAGGAGCATATTTGGCCCTGTTCTGCCAGCTGGTAACCTCTGTTTTATATTTTCACTCTAGAAAAGGCGCACTGGCAGCAGCAGCAGCTCGAACAAAATTGCTGATGGAAATGTGTCTGACTCAGAAAGAGCAGTGACAGGTTCCATTACTCTGGATAATGAGGAAGAAGAGCTGACCTTAAAATATGGAGCAAAACATGTGATCATGCTGTTTGTGCCTGTGACGCTGTGCATGATTGTGGTTGTTGCAACGATAAAATCAGTGCGTTTTTACACAGAGAAGAACGGCCAGTTGTAAGTACTTTGGGTTAATCCTGGTGAACTGAATGTGATGTGTGATGACCTCACTTCATCCAGACCTGTGCTCTTTCTTTGCAGTTCATCTCGCTGGAGTCCCTGGTTGTCCCAGTGCTAATTTCTATGCCAGTGTGCTGAATCTCTTTCAATTTCACATTCAATTTCACAGAAGCTCTTAGGAGCTTCATTCTAATAGCGTGCGGAACTGCAGTGAAAGGGGGGCAGGGCTCAAAACTTCAGCATATTGTAGCGTAAAGTTCTCGTCAGTAATTAAGCTTGGGAAAGGGAACCATCCTTTTGGAATGAGAAACACTTCAGCAAAAGCTGCAACCCACCAAACAATTGGCAGTTTGGGGGAAGGGTTTGTGTCAGGGGAGGTGAACTGGCCATCTGGAAAACTCTGAGCTGTTTTGAGACCTTGGGCAGACTGGATTTTGCCTGTGGGTCTCCAGGCGAACACTTGAACCTGATCCATGAACTTGATATGGTGCACTGGATATGGGAGGAAGCATTCATGAGCTGGAATCCTGAGAGTCTTTGGGACAGCTCATTTTTCCAGATGAAACTCATATTCCGTTAGCACAGTGAAGCTGTCTAAATGAACAGGATGTATGAATGCAACAGCTTCAGCTATGAAGGTTGGGAAGTTGGCAGCTAAGAAAAGGGTCACATGTAGCATAGTTATTAATTTTTGTTTTAGTGTGGTCCCAGGTTTTGTATGTGAAAAATTCAGAAATTGAGCGCAAAGAGTGACCAGTGTACCATCTTGCATCTTGGTGCCCAGCTTAAAAGATTGGCAGTCCTTGTGCTCTGGCTATATGACAGTTAGCTCCCTGCTGCAGTTAACTGACAGCATCTTAAGTGAAGTGGCATTACGGCAATGTTGCCTGTCCTATCAGTGAATTATAACTCTTTTTCTGGTTCTTCAGGAGGCATACGGGAGCCAGTTTTAGGGTTTCCTGGCACCAGAATAACGGTGAGGTAGAGACAGAGAGATGATGATCGGGCAGCTCTGTTAAAACAGAGGAATGGATAGGAATAAGCACCAACAGGGTGCATTCCAGGAAGAGCAGATGGGGGTCAAATTATCTTTTCAGTTGGTTGCATTGAATGCTCTCTTCCTATTGTAATGTTCACTAGACATGGATAGGAACAGCTGCAAAGGGCTAGCTCACTGAGGCAAAAAAATCCAGGTGGGATCTACCTCTTGTGGCAAAAATTATCTTAGGATGCATCCAGGTTTTCAGTGCCTCCCCTCTTCTTGCGAGCAAAGTGGCCCAGTAGGCCAAATGGCTTCATTCTCACACCAAAGGCAGCCCTTATCTACAGAATGCCTGGGCAAGGGCACTTCTAGGCAATGATCTCTGGTGCTTTTCCTAAGTCATGAGGTCTTGTTATTCCTTTGAAAAACTGTTCTGCTTTTTGGACACTGGGGAAGTTCACTATACCACCTATCAAACCTTAATAAACTCCTCCTCATTCTCCTGGCAGAGCCTATACAATATACTTACCTAGTGGTGAGATTAGCTCAAAGTCTACAAGATGCTGGTCGTTTTTATGGGTGGAGGATTATTATTGGGTTTGGTATCATTCCTATCTGCCATGCACTTGGAGGACAGGTTTTCTTTTGATGGCCAAAATGCCAGTGCAGCCCGCATGTTATGCAGAGATGTTCTGGTTTTCTTGCAGAATTTACACCCCGTTTAGTGAAGATACACCGTATGTGGGCCAGCGTCTCTTGAGCTCTGTGCTGAACACCATCATCATGATCAGTGTCATAGTAGTAATGACAATCTTCTTGGTTTTGTTATACAAATACCGTTGCTACAAGGTAAGGCTGATAAACACATTTCTTTATTTTTTATTTATAAATAACATTACTGTACCAAATTAGCCTAACAACTCTCAGGACATTTTACAATTTAAAAAAACAGCACTCATAACAACAATATTAACACATTATAACGACAGTCCATAAAACAAGTCAATAACAGCAATAAGCTAAAAAGACAAAGCTGAATAAGTAAAATAAATAGCAAATCAAATCAATCAACAAACCAAATAATTCACAGTGCCTTTACTAGAACTCTGATGAATGATTTTTATCTAAATTTAATAGCAGGTTAAAATTGCATAGGCATGTCTTCGCTCCATGATGGACAACATTTTTAAAGTGTGAAGACAGGCATAACATCTTAGCAGTCCTCACAAAGGATTGTTACAACTTGCTTTGTATGCTTAGAAGACAAATCCTGTTTTACCTTTATTCTGTTCTTCTAAGTGGCTTAAGGCCCACTCTTACGCAAGTGTAGACAGCAAAAAGGCCTACAACTCCCAGCATACCCTGTGGCTATATGCTGCCTGTGCCTCTGGATACTGGGTGTTGGGGAATAAGTACTGGAGAGGGCTCTTGCACTCATGCTCTGGTTAAGTATTTCTCACAGGACGTTGGTTGAGAACAGAAGCCTGGACTAGATGGACCTTTGCTTTGATCCAGCAGGGCAGCAGTAAAGTCAGATATACAGGACACTTGCAGGATACCACAGACTCTCTGTATTTGATTAGTTTTGTGGCCATCCACAATATTTCAGAAGTCTGGGTAAGGAAGGAAGTTACTTCCATGGAGTTCAGAGTGACATGTTTGCCTTCCCCCAACAGATGCACAAGAATTAAAATTTTTATAGTGAGTATTCAGACAAAATAAAGAGCACTTCATTTCCAAAGAGGTCAAGGAACTTAACTGTGGTGAAGCAGGAAATTGGTATTCTTAGCAGACATATTCAACTTGTAACCCTTCACGCCAAAATGCAGCCAACTAGCTGTATCTGGTGGTCTTCATAGGGCTTGTTCAGGCCGCCGCCTCTTTTGTTGTGCCTGAGATTTCAAAAAGGACTTTTGGCAAGTTGCAGACACAGCTGATAGGCTGTGCCCTGCCAGGTACACAGGCCATATAGTGTGCAGGCTTCTCAGGGAATCTTATCTTCACTGAGAATATGCTCAAATGTTCCCTCTAAATAGCAGGGCTAAGTTGGAGGATGGCAGGCTTCAGGCTGATTTGTTTCCATTAATTGATTTGCTTCCATTAATTATTTTCAGCAGGGACATGGGGGCCTGTGATATTTGCTCATCTGGTTAATTGATTGTCTTGCATGGCCTAAGTCAAATTTTACTCAAGGAAAGGTAACTTGATGCTGAAAAGTGTGATGATAAGAGAAATACTTCGCAAATACTTCTTGTTGTAAATGCAGCCGCTTGCATAGCTTTGGTTTTAAATAGGGTCCCAGTGATCCTTGTAGACTTCGTAGCTGTAGAATAAATGTGTATATTTAGCAGACTGAGACAGAAGGCTAATGATTAAGTTGGCTGTTAATGTGGTTTGGGAGTAGGGGAGATGAGAGCAAACCTGGAAATGATACCAGACTACAGGAATTGGGCACTAAGGATGCAGTCCTATGCAAGTTTAGAAAGGGATAACTCCTAGCACAACTGACTGAGGCATGCTGGGAGTTGTAGGTCTTTTTTCTTGTCTAACGGTGCATAGGGTTGCACCTTACTAAGTCTGACAAAGCACTTAAAGGCAAGAGTCTCGAACATAAATTTCCAAAAAGAAGTGATCAAAGGGCACATTATATTACTTCTACTACAACTACTGATGATGATAATTTTCTTGGTGAATATGGGAAAAATAAGGAACATGCAAATAAAATGCATACTAAAACAGAGTCCTCAAAAAAATGTTCAGGATCAGCTAAAACAACAGAACAAGATGGCCCAAGTATTGTGAGTGAGTCTAAATCTGGTGCTGAAATAATGGCAAAGCAGAATCAGTTGCATCTCTGTGGGGGAGGCTATTCCCCAAGTGGGGCACCTCTTCATGGTGTGCTCTCATTGTGTCATGATATGGCGTGAGGATCCAGCTTTTAGTCCCAAAGTACTGCAAATGGTGTCCAACTAGCCCACATGAGCAACTGCTAAAAGCATGATTACTGGGGAGCCAGTGCAGTGTAGTGGTTAAGGGCGTGGGAATGGGACTCAGGAGATCTAGGTGCTGGTCCCCTTTCAGTCATGGAGTCCACTGGGTGACTCTGGGGCAGTTGCAGACTCTCAGCCCAACCTACCCCATTGCGTGGTTTTTGTGAGGATAAGATTGAGAGGAGCAGCATTATGTAAGCCATCTTGAGTTTCTGCAAGGGGAATGGCAGGATCAAAATGTAAGAAATGAATAAAATCTTAAAATGACAGGCTAAGGACCCCAAGTGTATTTTGAACATAGGAAGCGCCCGCAGACCTATCCGTCTGAGCAGTCTGTTTCCACAGTGGCCAAACAAATGCCCAAGGGAAGCCCACAAGTAGGACATGAGAAGAATGGTAACCTCCACCTACGTTCTTCAGCAGTGGCCATACTGAAGCCCCTGATAGCAAGGGGAATCAATAGCATCAGGGCCTTCTGAATTTGTCCAGCCCCCTTTTAAAGCCATCCAAGATGGTGGCCCTTGCAAGCGACGGTATATGGCCAGGTCCCATGCCATGCTGGGCGTGAGGGTATTGTATTCTTTAATACAGTCAGTGACCAGCTCATTCATGAGAGAGAGTTTACAAGTGTCACCATAAATTAAAATATCCCAATTATTAAACAGATCATGTAAAATTAAGATAACCTGTTACAGATTAAAATAAATAGCATTAAAATTTAAAACATTACATAGAATATCTTTATGAATCTTACAAACAGCTGCAAAAAACCTTGCACAAAGAGCAGCTGACTGCAGATTGATGCCTACAAGGAGCTTCCTTGCAACCTCAGCATCAGGTCTGGCCTGCTACCTTCTAAGCAGAGGAGAAATAAACTTAACATGTTAGGCTTGCGAAGTTAGCACCACTGCCTTGAACTGGGCTGCCAAGCAAAGAAGTAGCCAGTGCGGTTCTTCGGAAGAGGTGTGGTGAGATTCCACTGGGGCACAGCAGTTATAGTGTGGGCAGTTGTATTCTGTACTCGTTGCAGATCTGGTCACAGTGAGAGAGTACTTGTTTGTGCCACATCACAAAAACAGAAGTACCAAACCTCATGTGTTAACTTCAGCCTGCATACTGGTAAGCCAAAAGCAAAAATAAAATTAGCTGACATTTGTGGTCCTTATTTCCTGTCTTAGGCAAACATGTGTTTACCTAAGTAATTGATATTAAGTAATAAGTAGCAAGTTAATAAAATAAGTAGTAATTCAGTAATTGTTTAAGGGGAGTAGTTGGAAAGCATTTTGAGTACTTCTGGCTGATAGCTGGATTTATGGAAGGAATGTATACTGCAGGGATGGACAGCCTGTGGCCCTCCAAATGTTTTTGGACAAATCCTGTCATCCTTTACCATTGTGCACATTGATTAGCGCTAATGGGAGCTGTAGCCCCACAACATCCAGGCCGCTTCACACTTCTTTGCGGAGAGTCACTGAGTCAGGGCACTCCCAGCCCCAGAAGGTCCAGCACCTTCTGTGTGTTCCACCTTCTAAGTGGAGGTGTTTTGGTAGGGGTACCTTCCCTCGCTTTTGACATCTACCATAGCAGCATTTAAAGCCTGACAACAACCAAGCCCTGTGGCAGCCTTTCCCAACATATAGTGCCTTCTGGCTGTTAAGGATTACAATTCCCATCACCTCAGGCAGCATGGGGCAGTAGTTGGTTTGATGGGACCTAGGGTCCAAACCATCTGAAGGGCTCCAGCCTGGGGAAGCGGCCCTGCAGTACTGGAAAGAGAAGGCATTAAAGCATCGGGGCGAGCAGGGGGACTGGCCTGCTCCTCAGGCCCGCTGGAAGGCAGCTGGGTTCTCAGCGACTTCCTAAGTAAGGGGCTGGCTGAGGAGAGGCCTGAAGACAAAACAAAAGCAGTTATCCTCGGCATATCCAATATTCAAGGCACCCACCTGATGAGATTTATTTTCCTTGTCATCTTTTGTTTGACAGTTCATTCATGGCTGGCTGATTCTTTCGTCTCTGATGCTGCTGTTCCTTTTCACTTACATCTATCTTGGGTAAGTGTCCAGGAGAGCCCTGGATTCAAAGCAGCATGGCAACACCTTTAAATGGGCAGCAAACAGGCTCTTCTGGTAGTTCGCTCAAAACATTTGCAGCAGATCAGAAGGGAATCCTGACTCCTGGGTGTTCTTAAAAGCAGTAAAAAGGCTTTCCCTGCCTGAGCTACTGAGCTAAGCTATTAGAATCCCTGATCAACAGCTTTGGAGGGCCAAATCACGTGTGTGACTCACAGCAGCCATTTTGGTTTTGGGGAGTCTGTGTATGGGACCCTGATCTGTAATGTGATCCTGCAACGTTTAGCTTTCCTTAGTGTTATTATTTGCTGCCCCCTAACAAAATGTCTTCAGGGTGTCTCAGTCTTTATTGAAAAAGGCACCTTCAAGGACCCCTTGCAGCACAGCAGTTTGGGGGATAGAAAGTGGCATAGGGTCCCAACCCAGATCCAGAAAAGGTCTTAGAATCTAGATCGTGGCTGTGCAGCTGCTCTTGCTTCAGAATTAATAGGGTTGGTTTGAGCATATGTCCTTCTTTTTCTTTCATTTTTTTAAATAAAGCACTTAACAACTTGAGTAGTTTAGCCCTCAGATATAGAGTCGTACTTGATTATGCTGGACACACCAGTATAAATACAATGAATTGACTCATTTGTTTTCTGAATTGCAGTGAAGTGCTAAAGACCTACAACGTGGCCATGGATTATCCTACCCTTTTCTTTGTCATTTGGAACTTTGGCGCTGTCGGAATGATTTGCATCCACTGGAAGGGGCCATTGCAGCTCCAGCAAGCCTATCTCATCATGATCAGTGCCTTGATGGCTTTAGTTTTCATAAAATACCTGCCTGAGTGGTCAGCTTGGGTCATTCTGGGAGCCATATCAATTTATGGTAAGTTTGTAGAATGGGAAGAGCTTTCAGGATGTTCCTTCTCCAGTTTCTTCAACTACAGAAAAGTCAAAATACAGGAGATAGCCTAAATGGGTGGCTTGCACCAAAGGTATCACACCATCTGCTCATGGTCTTTTCTGGAAATGAGCAAGATTTGATCCATATCCTGGCAGAAGTAGCTCTCTCTGTTCTACTTCAGGGGTGCTGTTTCAGGTTTCAATCTCTGCATTTAAATGTCATGGGAAATCATGTTTTATTATGATGGAAACGAGAAGCTTTTCCCAAAGTTCACAGCAGAGCAAGATGGGCTTTGGGCTAGCTGCCTCTAATGAGCCCCTCTTCTGTCCCTCATGCTCAGCTCACACATGGCAGTTACACAAACATACACAGAATCAAAGAAAGCTATTTTATGTACAGCAAATGCATGCTTTGACTGCGCATTTTAGTGGAAATAATCTTCCATGCTTCTCCAGAAGCAAAAGATAAATGTCCAGGGTAAAGACCTCAAATATAAACACAAGGTTCCCTTTTCTGCAACCACAGGAAAGTTACATGCAGAAACTGTCCCACGTGTGATACAGAGATTCTGTCTCACCCTCAACAAAGAGGCTCAGGTTGACTTGCTGCCTCGTTTAAGCACAACAGCCAGGCAGGGCGAGCAGTGCACAGAGTTGAGGCTGTCCCGAGGCATTTTGCTGCTTGAGAAGGACCATTAAATGCCCCTCATTTGGTGACCTTGTGCTTGAGGAAGGCCATCCAATACTTGCCAGCCTAACCCATCTCACAGGACCATGCAAGGATTAAAACAGGGAGACATTTAGCTCCGGGAGGAAAGGCAGAACATCAGTGCAATGAAGGTGAGCAGAAATATTTGTGGGATGTAATTGGCTTACTCTGTGATCTGGTTCACATGATACACCAGGTTGTTTAATTCATGATGAGACATGTGCTGAACAACATTCTGAAAATGCAACTGCACACAGGGACTGCAGTGTTCTGGGACCCTGACCACTGATGGGTAAACAAACCTCACAACACCCCGCCCCCCATTTGATGTAGATTCTGCAAGTGTTTAACCCGCCAAGAACCCTTGGTAGTTAGAATGATATAACACATAGCAACCCACGCTTGGGGTTGCATAGTCAAAATGTCACCTGGTATGTGCCACTGGTTATTGTGGATTAAATAACCCAAGGATAATCAGCTGTGTCATGTGAACTGGCGCATTGGCAGTGTGAGCTACGTATGTCTTTCTGGATGTTGGATTGATGGCAAACCTGGAAAGAACAGCCTACTGCAGGCAGCAGCAATCTCAAGTACACATGAATAGATTCAGAATCAGATTAATGTTTCTCCCTCTATCCACAGACTTAATTGCTGTTTTATGCCCAAAAGGACCTCTCAGAATGTTGGTGGAAACAGCTCAAGAGAGAAATGAACCAATATTTCCTGCCCTTATTTATTCCTGTGAGTGAAACAAAAGCTTCTCTCTGTGTTTGTCCTTAACTGAATATGTTCTGCACCATAGTAACTAGTGATACATTATTAATTTGACATGTTAACTCAGAATTGGAAAATAGAGCAATTACCTTCTTTATGAGGGAAATCTTCAGTTTGTGTGTTTTCCAGGCACAGAGTGGGGTGGAGGATTCATCATTCTGATAATCTCAGCTGTAGTTAGAACAAAACAAACTAATCAAAACCTTGGCAAGTTTCTAGTGCTTAAGATTACAAGGTTAGGCTTAGAAAGCTGTGGGCAGTACTTGAGCTCCTGGAGCCTTTTGAGATATCAGATAGATCTGTTTTGTAAAAAGTGGAGACTCACCCCCTTGTAATGTGGTATGGGATACATATTTTTGTGGGAAATCTTCCCACACTTCCAGTAAAGGTCTAAAATGGGTGTAGGAATTAATCTTAACTTTTTAAATAAAGAAGCAGCTGAAACAATTTGCATTGTGATGTAATTGTACAAGGGGTATTAATGATTTAATTGTAAAGAGGAAGCACAGAGTAGCAGATTGCCAGGTATTTCTTGTTCAGTCAAATGAACTTGTTGAAATAAATCAGAAGAAACAAAGAGAAATCTCACTGTCACAGAAGAATCATACAAGAAAATTTGAATGTTCATCTTAGAAGCTTCCCTAAGCTTGGTCTGTTGTATTTGCCAGCTTTGACATCTGGGAAGTAAATGCGACACCTCCCAATCATTGCCATGCCTTTAATGAATTGTTTCATAATGTGGATTCAATTCCTATTTAGTCATGGCATGCATTCAGTCCTTGGGTTGTCGTTCCTGCATTGTCCCATTGTAGTATGTTGCTGCTTTAGTTTTGAGAAGATACTGTAGCAACAAAGCACTTTAAGGAGGGAAGAGCCCGAGTCCCGGGTCATTCATATGTTGAATATGAATATCCCCCATCTTGGTTTGTGTTCAGCTTCTTTCTGATGCCATTCATGAGGTGGGTCAGTGAAACTAACAGGTCATGTCCACAGACTTAACAATCTTGTTAAACCTTCCATTTTAGGATAAACATTGGGGGAGAATTTTGTTTAAAAGCCACAAAAATGTGGCATGTTGAAATGTGGCTGCTACTGTCTCCGTGTAGTGGCTTGGCACTGTTTTTTCTAAACATGTCCCCTGCCCCTCCTTACTTCATCCTGGCAGGCCCTGCCAAGAATAATTGGAAGGCAAAAACAAATACATGTGGAAGGCAAAATTGCAACAGATACAACAACAAATACAATTCCAACAAAAACAAATGCATGTGTGCATATGCACACACTGCAGTCGGATGGCTGGTGAAGGGGCTTCATAAACCAGAAGGTGTACCTCTGAGCACTGGTACTGTGTGAGGATGGGCACTCTTGACTTCCTTCTCCCATCATGTGTTGGCTACTTAGACATTGCTGAAAAAGAGGACACCATAACTTTTGCATATGCTAATGTATGGGGAAAGAAGTATAGTGTCCCTCATTGTAGTCCGGAAGACTGTAACCAGGTGACCTGTGTGCTTAGCTTAAGCTGCTGTCCGATGCTATTGGTGGGCCTTGAAGTGGCTCAACTCAGTTGGACAGCCTTTCAAACAGAGAACTCTTTCAGAACAGAGAACTGTTCTTTGTAAAAGAGGACACGTAGCCACCCTAACTGGCTGCAGTGCAAAATCCTGGTTTGCATTACACAAAGATCTTTGCACCAAGAATTGCCTGCAGTGAGAGGCCCTGGGGTTTATGAGACTGGAGGATCCTTCAAATGCAGTCCCTAGAAACAGCTGTAACAGAATGACATACATGCCGCCCTATCAAAATTAGGAAGCAGGTTTTTTGTTTGCAGCATCTTAGTAACTCACTGGTAGCTTGGACAACTAGTCTGTGTATGTACTGATAGACTTACGTAAATCTTCTCAAGAGTATACCTAGGCAGTTCTCTTTCTCATATCCAAAAAACCAAGGATGTGATAGCAGAACTGGCTTGGTTATGTTTCTGGAGTCATTTACTGTTTCTTATTCTTCCCTTTAGCTGCTATGATGTGGACTGTAGGAATGGCAAAACCAGCCAATACACAAAGAAGATCTTCTCAAGAAACATGGGATCCAGGTGACACATACGCACTTGCTACAAAACAGTGCTCCTTAGTTCGCTCCTTAGTTTGACTTGGTGGATGCGTTTTGTTCTCTGAAATGTATCATTCTATGAAGTCACAGGCTGGGGCTGATGGGGGTTTCAGTCCAGTACATCAAGAGGGCTTGAGGGTGTGGGAAGGTTTGCAGTAGCAGGTGGAGTTCAACTATCACTTAGCTGAAATGGCCCATTCTCTCCAGACCTTACAACTGGCCCCATGGTGGAAAAGTTTGAGGACCCCTGATCTAGAGCATGGCTCCGTCCCACCGTGCCCACTCATCCAGCCCAGGCCGCCATCCCCTGCCCATGCGTGTGCTTGCTCACTTGGAGATGGTTTTGGACGCGTTGGGAGATCTCCCAGTGAGTTCAAAACCATCTCCAAGCAAGCAAGCTGCCATCGCCTGCCTCCCCTGCACATGTGCGCTTGCTGCTGCTTTGCAGCGTGGGCTGGAGGTGTGGTGGCTTGCTCACTTGGAGATGGCTTTGGACTCACTGGGAGATCTCAGAGTGAGCAAGCCGCCACGCGTGCCCAACGCCACCTCGCATGCACCCGCCGACGCCTCACCCACCCATGCGCCCAGGCCACCCTCCTCACCAGCCCATGTGTGTAACTGCCGCCTTTCCACTGGCCCCCTATTTAAAAAGTTTGAGGACCCCTGATCTAGAGCCAGGGAGCTCCTTGGAGGATTCCTGAAAAAAGAACTACCTTCAGAGGGGGCTGTAGCCCTGTTGCGAAGAGATTCTCGGCTCCTCAAAAAAGAACTTCAGCAAAAGGTAATGGCGCTGGCTAGCAGTGGGCAAAACTGTAAGCACTCCAAGTTCCTTCTTCACCGTTGTCTTGGCCAAAATGGCAGGCAGGCGAATAAGCAGGGCTGCAGTGGTGAAGAGGAGGAGCAAATCCAGAGGCTTTTCTCCACATGCCTCTACTTGGTTGTGGTCTGTTATCTGGCCTAAGATTCATGTCATCCCTGACAGAAGACACCAGCTTTTACAATATTTTAGCAGAAAATACATAAGTATATACTGACTTTTGCCTCTCTCTCCTTGCCTCAAAACCTGCCTACCCACAATGGTTCCTTTGGGGAAACAGCTGAAGGAGCTGCAAACCATGATAGGACTTCACACAATGAGCCTCAAGCTTCTGAGTCAGGAGCATTACCAGCAAGTTTCATTGCCCACCGACTTCGACAAGCGCCCCCCAGCTTAGATGATTTGGAGGTGGAAGAAAGTAAGTCAAAGCTCCTAAGGTTGTTCCACAAGTGGTGTCTCTTATTCAAAGTATTAATTCAGCCTTTCTAATCCAACCTTTAAAATGTAAGGTACAGCTTTCTGTTACGTGTTTGGAAGTCATGATGGGTGTGGGGCCACCTGACTGAAAGAACCTACCAGCTCGGGGTCCTTATTCATGATAGATGCTGAATTGCATAGGAAGGGTGGGGATTGGAGAAGAGTTTGTACCTTATTCCTGGGAGAAATCTGTTTTGGAATGAATTCCCTTCCTGTGCAGCTTGTGCTGTGCTTTGAATGGGTCTTGGTGCTGTGATTGCCATTTGTGTTTACCAGCCACAAAGATTTCTAGTTGCTGATGCCCGTAGAATGGGGTTGAGCCTCAGGCTACAGGCCAACTTTGGGCCACTTGGAGTCCCTTTCAGGTCCCCTGCCATTCCTGAGGTGACCACACCTCTTCCTCCAGCCCTGGCCGTTTTGGCCCAACCGTGGATCATTTGGTGGGTTCCTGCCCCCTTCTAAAAGATTGAGCTGCCTCTCCTAGTTGCTGGTGGTAAGTTTTCCAGTGAAGATATGCTGGTGCTTTTTCCCAGCTGCCACTGAAATGAAGCCTCTGAGAGCTTCTCCAACACAGGACTTGGTCCTTAGGCTGAAAGAGGTCCAACTCCTTGGAGCTTCAGAATTCATTTAGGATGTGATCCAGCACGAAGCTACAACCTTTGAGTGTGTCCTAGTGATTTGTGTGGAAACTAGGCATACTACTATATTCATTAGATCAGTATGACACACAGTTTGCTTGTTTCTACAATGAAATCTTTCAGCGTGCCTTGAGGAGCATTTTGATAAATGCTGGTGTATAACACACCCTGTTGCAGTCTCCTCAAAGTGAGAGAGAGAGAGAGAAAGAATTGAAAGAATGAGAGAGAGAAGAAAAGGGGAGAGAGAGAGTTGTGTTGGCTTTGTAAAGAGCGGCATTCAGAGAACAAGATTGCTCTTCATATACAGGGTGTGTGTGTATCTCTCTTGTTCTCACAGATGCATGTAAATACACGTGCACTGCAGTATATTAGTGTATATGAAAAAGCTGGTAAAGCACTCTTAACAACCTGTTCTCAGATTTAATATTTAAGAATATGGTTGAGTACATGCCTAGCCTTCCCTTCACCTTACAAATTGATGGGAGTTTTCTTTTGTTTTTAATAGGAGGTGTCAAGCTGGGGCTTGGAGACTTCATATTCTACAGTGTGCTTGTGGGCAAAGCAGCAGCCACTGCTAGTGGGGATTGGAACACCACTCTGGCTTGTTTTGTCGCCATTCTCATAGTAAGTGAAGCCTACCCCTTTTGTGTCGATGTGATGCCAAGTTGCATTTCGAGGCTCCGTAGAAGCAGGCTAGCTTTCTGCACTGGGCCCTGCGTGTCAGCGCAGTGGCAGTCTGACGCGTGAGTCTGGGCACAGTCAAGGTCTGAGGGGACTGGAGTGCTAGAACAGATCCCCGGGCTAGAAGTGATGCCGAGTAGGCCGTTAAAAGCCACATAAAGGCTGGGGTGGGTTTAGTTAATTTTATTTATTTATAGCATTTTAGTCCTGCCCTTTAGCCAAAAAGAGACTCCCACGGTAGCCTACAAAGAGATCTCTTAAGGCAGTTCTTCCCTGCAGCCTTACGGTATAAAAAACACAACACAAAAGGAAAGGGGACTGGGAGGGAAGATGAAAAAACTCAAACATTATTTTCTTAGTTGCAAAATTCAGCAGGTTATGGGCACAATAGAAGGACTCTTGCTGCTGCTTCCTCTTCTGGCCTCCTACAGATCCAGAGAGGAGAATGAACAGAGTGCTTGGCTGCTGTTTCCCTCCCCTTCTGATGGCCTCAGCAATGAAAGTAGCAGGGCAAAGAATCAGTTTTCACCAACACTGCAGGGAGCAGAGATCCAACGTTTCTGCCCCCAACCCTGATAGAAATGCTGCATCCAAAACATAAATGCAATCTTTTGAACCCACTGTTTTCCCTTCAACTGGTCTTTAGCAGTGTAAAGACCAATAACCTGGCTGACAAACTCTGTAGAAGGCATAGGCAGGGGCTGCGCTCCAAGTACCAAATCACATAATTGCCCTGCACAAAGCACAACAAAATGGCCATTTCACAGAAAGCACAGTAGTAACACTCAGAGAAACAGCAAGAGCAAGGCATCAGCCACACCTGGTCCAGGAGATTGTCTCCCAATCATCAGCTTTCCTTTTTCTTTTTGTCTTTTCCCCTGGGTGGCTGGGCACCCTTCCAGTCAAAGTTCTGGGTCGCACCTCTCCACTTTATCATCTGTTCCCTACAGCTAATGTTGACTCTCCAAGGCATTCTTTGAAAAACAGCTTGCACTGGAAGCTGGTGCTGTGCTTTGCTGCATGCCTGTCTCATTTTTTTTAAAAGCACTTTAAAAGATACTGGGCACCAGTGGAAGTGGCTATGAGCACATTGCAGTCCATGGGCACTGGGAATCCAGCATAACGGCTTGTGGACCACAGCCCACTGTATCAGGAAGTTAACAAAGTGACCCCCTTACTGCTTGCATGTGATCGTAACAATAATAAGGTGCAAAATGCTGAACGGTGTGTTGGGTTTCATCTTCAGTCTTTTAGACAGCCTTCAACACTGTGTACTGGCTGGGAGCCTGCAGGAGAGTGCCGTCCAATGCATCTGGAGGACATTTGGTTGTGGAAGGCTGGGTTAAAGTGTCACAAGAGTGTATCATTTTAGTACTGTATGACATAGGGGAAATATATGTATATCCTGGCATACTGCTGAGTAATGTTCTCCCCTTCCGCAGGGCCTGTGCTTAACCCTCTTACTGCTGGCAGTATTCAAGAAAGCCTTGCCTGCCCTTCCCATCTCCATCACTTTTGGCTTGATCTTCTACTTTTCCACAGATTACCTTGTGCAACCTTTCATGGACACCCTGGCAGCTCATCAGCTCTATATTTAAAGTGACGATGACCCTCCTTGAGAGCTGTAGCAGTGAAACAGGACAATTTTTGATGGGATAAAATCCAGTGGTTTTTACACTTAGTGCCATTATATTTTTCAGGAAACCCTGTCAAACAAATATGTGTGTCTCCCCTGGGATTAATAGCTGGTGTAAACATCTGCCCTGGAGCAGTAACCATGCAGATTGGGTCTTATCTGCATTGGCTTGGAACTGAGCATGTGCACCCACCATGCCCAGGGGGTCTTGCTCCCACGTAGGTGTGCATAGGACTGCTGCTGCTCAGATGACCTTGGGATCCTTGGCATGCCACTTGTTAACCTCTCTCAGTGTACGGAAAATATGCTGGTTATATCAGACCATGGCGGGATGAAGCATTCCTTTTTCTTGGGAGCAGTTGAGGAATGAAGGCGCCAGGATACACTGTGACTTGGGATCATAAGGAAAAAGAAGAACCGTAGAATACTAATAATACCATGCTCATTAAGAAAAGTCTGGAAGAGCACTTTTTTAAAAGGGGGGTGTCAAAAGTGAGGAGCAGACTGCAGGAGTCCTTCAACTTTGCCACAAAAGCCACCCTAAGGAGTTAAACAACTCTGTGAGCCTCCTTTAGTCATAGCTAGTAAAGTACTTGTGTACATGCCTCCCATACTCCTGGTCCAGCCCTGCAAGGAACAACAAGCATTAGAGGAAGCAAAAGGCACTATATTGTTTTACAGGACTTTTGCATTTCCTTTTCTGAACTCCAGGGAATTAGTGCTAGCTGTGGTTAAAATCAATGTGCGTCTTTCTTAGAGCAGATTCATTGAAATGAATGGGATTTCAATCCGTGGTAAACAACGCATCCCATTCAGTGAATCTACTCTGAGTAGGATTTACAGTAGATTTTGGGGGAGCGCACCTGGCTGCAGAGGGGAAGGGAACCTTTCCTTCTGTGAACGTACTTAAGCCAGCTTATGTTAGAATCTAAGCCATGCAGTGATCATGCAAAAATTCAGATTGTCCAAACAACTAATTTGAGGAGGTGTTTGTGTGCATGCCACTATCAAGCAAGGATCAACTGTATAAACCAGTTGACTTAAAATGGAAACACATTTTCCTTGATCTGGCACAATTAATGTTGCTTTTCCCCCCTTATGCCACAGACTCCCTTCTGATTTCATTTGCAGAACTGACAATGAGTTGATGCATTTAAGTGTCACTTTAGATTGTATGAACAATGCACTTTTGCAGTAGAATGAAAAATGCAGATTTTATTGTCCCAGATGATCTCAGCGCACTCTCACCACTAGAAATTTTAGTCATGTAGTTATATAGGAAACACAACCACTGAGCCTATTGCCAGTCCTAGTGTGAATGTGGGATTTAAGAAGAGATGGCAGCCCGAAAAGCTTGACTTCCCTGCTCCAGGAGAGTATACCAACTTCTTATTCCTACTTTTTGGATAAAAGATGTGCATGGCTATTATTCTACGCAGTTGTTACAAATCTCAAATCACATGGTAAAACTTTAGAAGTTACTGTCTCCTTTGGATCTTATTCTTATAACTTTAAAAAAAACCCTCTCCATTTAAAAAAAAACACAGAAAAAGTTCTGTTTACTTCAAAGCAAAAGTAAAGTTCTTCAGTTTGAGTTTCTAGGGTGGTGGAGGGAGGGTTGTATTATTTCAAGATGGCGTTTTGTTCAGTTTAGTTACATGACTTAGAAATGCTATGTAAATATTTAATGTAAAAATGAAATATTTTGGAAATATAGTTTATATGGATACATAGGGTGAAGATTTGAATCTGGTGTACAGATTAGTCTAAAGAAGAAACAGTCAATGCCCAAAATAGATTTCATGGTTTTGCCCAACATGTATTTGTAATTTGGACTTCCTCTTAGGGATATCAGTCATCAGTCTTTTATTTATTAAGCAGATCTGTTTTACTTCCAAAAGTCATTTTCTAAAAATAACCTTTCCTGTGTGGTTTGCCTGTTTGTTCAAAAGAAATGGTCAGGAGGGGATTGGGTGAAAGAATATCTCAGTTGTACCCAGTGTTAGCCTCACATGAGCCCCATTAATGCCAATGGGTCTCACACTGGAGAATTTGGCCTAAGGCCCATAAAATGCAGCTCCTGTTTGTTTCAGCAAGATTGCGCAGCAGAATTTGCTGGTAACTGAGCCCTTTCTTCCTTTTTAGGGAAGCTTGCCCCCTTTGGCCTAAAACAAAGCTATGGCATTTAAAACATTTCAAATATTAAAGGTTTTACTTGTTCTATATATTGAAAAACTATTAACTAATTAAACTGATTTGATAGACTTTGCTTTTTAAAGTGCAAGCCACTTGGAAGTTCATATTTTTCCCCTTGAAAGGGAGCTGTTTGTGAGACTGTGCAGTTTTTATATCACAGAACTGATTCTATTTTCCACACAGCCAGGGAACTGCTCCCCAATATTCCTATGCTGCATGTATTAAGAAAGACTAGTGAATGTTGTCTTCAAAGGTGTTTTCATGCCCATGTCAGAATATCCAAAATGGCACTCCACCTGTGCAGTAATTAACAAGGATTTGTGCTCTTGTATGTGGCAATCATTTTCTGGGGATTGCACAGAATAACAGGCTGGTCCATTTTACCCCATGGACTGGTTCTGTTTCCCCAGCTAAAGCCTGATCCTTTGTAGAATTAGTCACGGATCATTATGCTCTGCAATCCTGTACCTGGGCATAAGCCCCATTATGTTTAATAGGACTTAGATATGTATACTATGACATTGTAAGTGGTGGGCTTAGGAAGCCTTCCCCAGCCTGGTAAGTTTGGACTGCAGCAGTTCCCACCATTCTTCTCCATTGAGCATGATGATGAGTGTTGATGTTCAAAACATCTGAAGGGCATGAGGCTGGGAAAGTTTGAGCTTGGACAGGCCTAATTGGAATCTACCTGCAGCTGATCATTTCAGCTTGATCCATTATAGAAACATCTGATGGGATGCATGTGATGTATATCACTTGTCTTGAAATGGGACTACATGTGAGCTTAGATTGGAGCTCAGTGTGTATGCTCACATGTGCATGAGTGATGAATTATAAGTGAGTTGTCTGGGCTATTAAATTGACTATATAGTAAATATATTTCAGTGCAACTTTAAACCAGGTTCCAGTGCCACTAAGTGGCATGTGCAAGGAAATAGCCTTTCAAATGTCCACGTGGAGTTGCAGGACCACATCTGGCAGAATTCTACCTTCCAGGCCAGAGTTCCCCGAGCAGGTGTCACCCAGATGTTTTAGATTCCTGTTCCCTTTAACCCCAGCCAGCATGGCCTGTGGTCATGAATGTTGGGAGTTGTAGTCTGAAAATCTGGTTGGGGAAGGCTGTACTGGACAATCCTTAAAAGCACAGGGGCCTCCTAACCCTCATTTTCTTTTTCAAGACTACACTTCTGTCCAATGCCTAACAGGCTTTTACCTGGGTATAGAACTCCTTTTGGATAAATCTTTTTTAGATGTACAGTGCACTTCTACCAGATGTATCTGCACGTACAGAACAAATGTATTTACTCACTGACAATCATGGAGTTTAAAACAATTACGTGCAAAAGCCAATATGGTATAGCAATTAGAATGTAGAACTGGGAATTGCAAGATCTGGCTCTAGTCTGCTCTCAGCCATGAAGCTCACAGGGTGACTTTGGGCTACTCACTCATTGAGTGGGACTTGACTTCAGTGAGATTATCTGAAATTTCTTTGGCTTTATTGAATGAGTAAGACTGTAGTTGTGTCCATTCAAGTGATTTCAGCCCTAGGATAAGACTGTAGTGCATGATACAATCACCCTGCTGAAGGCAAACAAGGTTAGTGGATGGAGGGGTGACTGTTTTAGAATCTCACACATACTACCTTTATAGAAAAAAGGCAGGACATTAATGTAGTTTCAAGTACATGGGGAGAGGGTGTCGGATAGGAAATAACCTTAAAAACTCAATATAATCCTAACAGGACAGTTCCCATCTTGGATCTATGAGTATGGGTGCATACAGTTAATGCAACAGAAATACCACATATGTACAAGAAATGCTTCTGTGTAAAAGGTCAAATCCTATGTATTTACTGCAAATGTAATGTGTACAATTAAAATGTGTGGTGGTTAGAGTGTTGTATGTGCTGAGGCCATCCCGCTTCTAGTCTTCACTCTGTCATGAAGACAACTGGGTGACTTTGGACCAGTCACTCACTTTCAGCCTAACCCACCTCACAGGGTTGTTGTGAGGACAAAATGGAATGAAGGAGGACTATGTAAGTCACGTTGGGTTTCTCACAAGAGGAAAAAAGGTAGCATATAAGTGCATTGTAATAAAATGATACTGGTTGCACAACTCATAAGCAATATGGCTTTACAATTGTGTGTGTTGTTCAAATGTAACTTGGTTTGGACCTCCAGCAGTTTTTGGTTCCATCTCTCAGAAGCCCCTGCAAACTTGGCCAATGGTCAGGAATGCTGGGAACTGACATTCAACGCTGCTGCTGATCGATCTTCTGATCTTGAAAAGGGAAGATGTGAAAGATGGTGGAGCTGGTCAGGTACTGATGGAGAGGGGTGAGGTTGGGACAAGGAAGAAGAGCATGGGGGAGCAGTGTGAAGCAAACTGGAGACCCCAGTAGCTGCTTGGGCCAGCTTTACCTATAGCAAATACAGATATCTGTGGAAGCTCTTGAGTCTCCCAGGAGAAAGCAGAGTCTGAATAAGTCAACATGAGCCAGAGACCAAGGAGACAGCTTCCAGCTGGCTCTCAAGTAGAGCTTCTGAGAGACCACAGAGAGGCAACTAACGAGAAACCTAGCCTACTTCATAGGACATAAACTAGCCATGGTCAGTGTTTCTCTGCCCTCTTGTTTTGGTACTTGGGGCAAGGTTTTCACAGGCTGGGAAGCCTGCTTGAAGTGAAGAGAAATGGATATAAGTAGGACCTGAAAGAAAATGTCACAGAGCAAGCTCCTTCCCTAGCAGGAGAACTCTCCATGCTCAGGTTCCAGGCCAGCCATATCCTCTTTCAGGGTCCTATGGAAGTGCTGGGCACTTTATAGCATTCCTTACATTTTATCCTGCAGCTCCCACATTGGCTATGCTGACTAGTCCTGATGGCCCCCCAGCAAGCTGCCTACCCCCAGCAAGGTGCAAAACACTTGCATAGGCCTGTTTTTAATTTCCAGCTGGTAGTGAACATTCTAGAGTTCCTGGAAGCAACCAAGTATCAGCAATCATTACCTGGATGATTGGGTCCTACCCCCTCTTTAAGGGAGGTGTGAAGTGTTACTGTTTTTTTCTTTAGTGCCATTGTTTTTACTCTAATTTTGTTGGTATTCAGCCACTGGAATTTGCTCTTAGAGGGAATGATAGTTGAGGCATATGTATACTTTTAAAAAAATCCTCTTAAGCTGCTGTAAGTCCCAGTAACAGCAGTTAAAAAATAAAAAAAGGTTCAAAGTTGCTTCCTTATAAATATAATCATAGACATACAGTCTGAGACTAAGCAATTGTTCATTCTCTTGATTCTGAAGTAACACTTCACTCCTCCTGCAGGGATAGACCCATGTTCCTCTCCCACAAAGGCACATGTTCTTTCAGGTTACCTGATACGGATGCTTCCAATATGTGGTCTCTACCCGAGAGTTCTAATAACTTCAGGAGGAGGATTCCACCAGCAGAGGCACGACATTGACCACTGGTACTATTCTCTCATGTTGCTGGGAGTGGGAAAATAATTGCCTGGCATTGGATATTCTATATGCTAACTGTGGACATTTCTAGGTATACAGGTGTGAGTAAATCTTGTTATCTAAGCCTGTTGTGGAGCATAGTGTTACATTTCATAGAAACAGAGTGAGTCAGAAGGGGTATCCTGGGGCATCTAGTCTGACCCCCGGCTCCAGCCAGCTCTGCTCATGACATGCCTACCATGTGCATGTCCAGCCTATCCTTGAACACCCTCACCGATGGGGCTTCAACCACCTCCCTTGGAAGCCCATTCCACACCCTTGGGGTCCTAACTGTCAGGAAGTGCTTCCTGGCATCCAAATGGAACCTTGGCTCCCTGAGCTTTGCTCCATTGGAGCGTGTCCTGCCTTCCTCTGCAGGGGAGAACAGGTCTCTACCCACATCCATGTGACACCCCCTCACATACCTATATGTTGCCAACAGATCCCCTCAGATTCTAATTTCATTAGCATCTTGTTCCCCATTTTGTAATTTTTTTGTTCCTGGCAGTGTGCTGTTTCCATTTCCTTTTCTCATTCTTTAGCTGTATTTCTTCGTCCTTTTTTAATGTGATGGATTTTTAAAAATTATTCCTCTTCTTCAAAAGGAGAATATTATTTCTTCTGTCTGCCACTAGAGGGCAACTAGCGATAGCGTATGTTGCTTCTCTTTTAAAAGTGTAGCAGTTCTGTTTATCTCAAACCACAGAGCTTTGTAGAGGGTTTAAAGCATTTAAGATGTATTAGTTCCAAAGCCCTGAAAGAACCCTGCCAGGTAGGTTGGCATTATCTTGCTATTTCAGATAGGCAGGAAAATAGAATAACTGTGGTAATGGGGAGAGCATTGAGGCATGTCCAGTCTTTCATCACTAAGAAGGGCCTTTCCTCCATGGCTACCCACCTCAACTTATTTGGCAGGGTCACTTGGAGAAGTCTGCTGAAGATGATCTTACGTATGGTGCAGGCAGGTATATATGGAAGGCTTCCTCATATCTTCCATCCTTCAAGGTACATCAGCAGGAGATGCAGGAAGGGCTACCCTAACTCTCCTTTCATGCTGACTGAAGATCTCTCCAGGACCTGATGCCACAAGCTCCCCTACCCTGAGCTCCCTCAGAGTAGACAAGATTTAGGAAACCCCGCAAAAGTCGTGTATGTGTATGTCCCAAAAAGGCCACCTACCTGTCCTATACAAAAGCAACACCATCATGTATGTTCACCATCTGAGGCCCTCCTTGGCGTGTTCTCACATACAGTGGTACCTCGGCTCACCAACGCCTCAGTTCACAACCAAATTGGGTTGCGAACAAAAATTTCATAAAAATTTTTGACTTAGGTTGCGAACTCTGCACCGGGTGGTGGCTGCAATTGTGGCCATCTCTCTCCGGCCCCACCGAGTGAGGAGATGGCCGCCATCATGCTGGAGGCGGGGGGGGGGAGATGGCCAAGATTGCGCCCGTCTTTCCTGCACGAGCGCGCCTGTGATTGCACCCGTCTCCCCACCCAGCACACACGCATTCGCGCCCGTCTCTTCCCCCAGCGCACCAGGATGACGGGCGCGTACAGGGATGACGGGAGTGATCGTGGTCATGCTGGGGGGGGACAGGGAGATGGCTGCACTCATGCTCGGGCTGGGGGGTGGGGCGAGATGTCCATGATCTTTTTGTTCTTTGTCACTTTGCTTCACATTTTTCTGATTAAAGAAAAAAAATACAGAATGGATTAACCTTATTTACATTGAACCTTATGGGGAAATTTAACTTGGCTCACAACCAATTTGGGTCATGACCAGAGTCCTGGAATGGATTAAGTTCGTGAGCCAAGGTAGCACCGTACTGAGATTCATGTAGGTGGCTACTTGTAGGCAGGCCTTTCTGTAGTGGCCCCCAAATTGTGAATTGCCCTCCTTCAAGAGGTCCACCTTGAATTTACTTTGTTGCCTTTCTGGCACCAGGCAAATAACATTTCAATCTCTTAGGCTTTTTAACCTTTTAGCCAACATTCATTTTACTTTTCATATTTTTAAAGCTGCATTTTAAAATGGTCCTTCATGTTTTTACCTGCTTTGATCCTTCACTATTTAGAAGAATTTTAAACTATTGTTATTACTGCTTTTAAATTATTTTTGTTTTCAGTGATACTGGATACATCATCGGTATTATTAATAACATTATTGTGTTCATTTTTATTAAATATGTTGCCCTGAGCACATCAGTGAGAGAGTGACTCATAGTTTGACAGAAGTAATCAAAAAATGATCATTTGCTTTTCCCATTGCTCAGGCTTTCCATCAGAAGTGTCCACATTCAGGTCTCAGTGCAATCTTTCAGCCTCTAGTCATCGTCTACAGATTCCAAGCATTGAGATACTGGACTGGACTGAAGTTGGGGCTCCAAAGGCTGGGCCCCTGCTCTGTCCTGCCCTGCCTCCTCGTAGGTGGCACAGAAGCTGAACTGTGTTGGCTTCCCAACCCGCTGGAATTGCAATTGCGCCTCAGAGGGGGACTACAGAGACTTGTCGGGGGTGGAGGGAAGGCTGGGCCCCACAGATGGCTGCAAACAGCTGTTTAGAGAAAATGCATGGCATAAGGCACAAGGACGGTCACCTCATGCTGGCTGTTGAGTGCCATACGTAGCTTTTGGGGGCTTGCACACATCTGCTGTGGGGCTGATGTGGTTGCACCTTTAATTGCCTTCCTCCTCCTCTGCCTTTCTCTAGTGTGCAAGGGTCATTTGGGTCCATGCCTGTGTCCTCTGAATGGAATGGAGGAGGTGGGTGCATATCCAATGCCAGCGGGTTGTTTATCTCCCGCCACATACCAGCCTTGCAGATAACAACAGTTAAAGCCAGTACAAATGGGAGTGCAGCATGGCTTGTCTGCCTCTCCAAAGGTATCGATGCTCAGCACTATTTATGGAATGATAGAAAGACAGATATAAATAAACTGAGGCTCTGAAGTGATGGCAGCTGGAGACATTTATATTCGGCCCTCTGAGCCAGGTAAACTGTCTGACAACTGTGCTGGAACTTTCCTCAGACTTAGCAGAGGCATTGTGGACGGCAACACACAAGGACGTTTGGGATAAGGACAGCTCAGCCTAGAGGCAAATGAGGTAGCTTGCAACGCGTTGATATTCCGTGTGTGACACAGATAGAAGCGGACTATTTTTAGTGAACTGGCTACTGGATCCTTTCCCGAGAAAAAGAATATAAATCTCAGAAAATACATGAGGAGGACAGCTGTTCCCTCTAAAATCACTACAGGTTGTTCAGATCATGTTATTATCCAAAAGCTGAATTTGTCACCAGGGCTGGAGCTTGCCTTGGCTGCTGAACTGAAGCAGGGACAACTGAAGCTCAGTGATGGAGACTCTGGTGTAATGTCTACAGTGACCTAGATTGCAAGAACCCACTAAGGGCACTTACCCACGTGAAGGCAGAAAAGGGCTCTACAACTCCCAGAATTCCTCAGCCAATCCGCCTCCTTAGGGAAAGCTGGGTGTTTGGGAATTTCTGTGTAAACATGCACAGAATTCTGTGCAAACATTCTTAACCATTTTTTCCAAAGTTCTATCTGTTGCTTGGGTTCCAATGCCAAAAATGACCTTCCATCTGTCAGTTTCAAAGGATTTC